CTAATTGGCAAAGTTTGGCAACACAAGCGTAGGATGCCAGTTAGACAGCGGTGTCGGTTGAGCAATAGATTCTCCTGGACACTAAGTCACATTTAACAAACGACCAACGAAGAACAAGCCGCAGAGGGAGACCCCACCTTGGCTGGAGCAGAAGGTCCTCAAAGCACTTTATATCTGAATGCCTTTAAAAAATGTCGGGTTCGCTTTTCATTGCCACCAGTGTAGTGCCCCGAGACCCCCTGGCCGGTATAAGCAGTCAGTAAGTGCAGTTGGATACATGTATTCTGAAGACGACAGGTCAATTTGGGTCTGAGCGTGGCTTGAAGGCCAGCCCACGTGTGCAGGAGCCAGACAAATTCTAAAGTGATCTCCAGATGTCAGATAGTCACATAAACAAAGCATTAAAACGGGAGCCATCTTCTTTATTAAAGCATTAGACTTTGGCATTGCAGCTTCTCAAGATTTCCTCACGCAGCAGAAGGTTTAACGCTGGGCATTTTGCGTCCCTCAAGCGTCTCGAGACTTCCCATAGGGTGGAAGAAGAAGTCATTAAGTGAAGCTGGGTATATGTATTTTCGAAGAGAACAGAGCAAATGGGCCTTAGCCTGGACCGAAGGCCAGCCCACGAGTACAAGGGTCAGACAAATTCAAAAGTGACAGTCAAATGTGAGATAATCACATAAACAAAGCATTACAGTGCATTCTAAGAGAAGAATGGAGAGGGTCTTGGCATGGCTCGAAGTCCAGCTCAAGTGAGCAAGGTCAAAGCGGATACCAAAGCAACAGCTAGATATGAGATTGTCAAGTAAACAAAGTATTACAGGCACATCTTACATTTTTACATGATGCTACAATGTCAATTTTTTGTGTCAGTGTTGATACATTATGTGTCCGAGGAGGCAAAGGATGAAGGAGTGGTCAACACCTTTAATGCAACCATGAGCTATTCAAGCGATCTCGAAAGTAGTTTACAATTAAACGGTCAACGTACGTCTTGGCTACTCCCTTCTCCTGAGAGACGTCCTCAGTGATCCACTCAATAAAATCCTCAGCGTCGTCCAATTCAGTGCATTCGGCGCCGAAGAAAACATTGGACCAATCCGTCTGTTTTCGGCAGTGTGGAGTAGAGCTAGAGTTTCCTCCACCTTGAGAGCAGGATTGATAGAATGAAAATTCTTCTTACCTTTATGCGCATTTATGGCTAAAAGCTGGAATCCTGATTTTGATTTTTTTTTCGGAGTTGCCTAATTTCTGGCATTTATATGCAAGCACAGTAGCTGAGACTTCGAACCAAAATCATCTTTTAATAGCTTGCTTGTGAAACAGAAAGGGAGTAGATACTGAAGACAGACGTCAATCTGAGCCCTTCAGCTATGGCCGTTTTGGAGGTTCTCCGGTGCGCATCATACGCCCTTTACTGGTATCGTTAAAGTGTGTTACAAAAATAGCAAACCGTTCGTTGTCGCCGATGCAGTGGGCGGCACTTCTTTACGATCAAGAGGAGGCATTGTGCCTAGGTCAAATGCATGCACTGAGGCAAAAGGGAAGGGCAATGCCCAAAAACCGGCTAACCACTTATGACCGAGGTCGAAAGTCAGACAAACCGTAACTTATGCAAACAAACTGTTTCTCACTCAGGTTTGGACAGCATTGCGACATCATTGGCCTAATAATTTGTAAACCCTCGGCATAATTGAAATCCATGTTCAACTGCCTTTTACCTCCTAAGGCATTTTTTGCATTCCTACCTTCGTGGTGACCTTAATTTTGTCAGATAATATGTTGTTGCAGGTGTAGTTGCGGCCTTCTTTTATCTTTCTCGAGCCTAAAAGTTAGACTGCACTGGGTCTGTATACACTTATTACGTAGACAGCTATGGCGCCCTGACGACTAGTGACTTGAGGTTTGACAGGTCATGATAAAGTGAAGAAGTAATTGGAGCGCTATAAACAGGTAGCCCATGGAGTTGGATTAGCCACCTATGGATTTGTTTTGGGAAGCCGAGAGTGCCACAATGTAGAAAGGATTTAAGTCGCCAAACAATGTGACGGCGCCATCAGCAAAGGCAAGTTCACAAGACGTTTAGTCTCAGACCAACTCGGTTGCAGCGATGAATGAGTGCTTCAGTTCGCCTGCGAGAGGAGACAGTTTATTCGACAAATTCTAAGACCTCACTTCTGATAGTTTAGCAGAGTCCGCCACCCTCAAGCCCATCAACCAGCAGTAAATGCCCAAACTACCTTTGGTTACACCTACAATAAGTCTTATTGAGATATTTTAACCATTGTCTATCCTTTTATTACGGTTTTACTGATTTGGATGTTAGGCCATCAATTCAACCCTCCATTTTTTGCCAATCTGTCTACCTCGTAAACATTTCATAACCTCTCTCTACCAATCCATCCATTCCAACTTGAGAGCGACCAAAGAAAAACAAAGAATGCGTACGACTATTGTATTAAGGTGGAGGGAATTTTAGTATAAGCTCTTGGGATTTGCTTTTCTAATTGTGGGAATTCGACAGTTGCAGGATTTTAGCTACTGTGAAAGGATGACACCATGCGGTTACCAGAGAAAGCCTTATCTTTATCTTTATCTTCCATCACATCAAGCTTGTAAAATCATCAAAGTTTTTCGGAAAAACCTATCATTAGAAATGTTATGTCCAAACATATGTGAGCACAGGGCTTTGGAGTGCTGTCAATGATACCACAGGACCTGTCCTAAAGAGACAGGAGAGTCATCATGCTTCCATTATTCGTCACTATGGTTGGAACACGTGTTTGTCCTCTCCGTCATTCAATACTGGCCAAATTTTTTTGTCCCTCGATCCACTGTTCGAGAGGAGATCCTCGTCAACACAAACGGGGACTCGATCCTCCGCAATAGTGACGATCTTCCTCTTGCTCATCCATGAGTTTAAGGAATAGGGACCACAACCTGCAGGTTTCCAGGCCTCATTTGCGCCTTTGATAAACATTTGTTCAACCACACCGCTTCCTCTCTGTATGTTCGCAAACTGTACACAAAACGGTTAAGATTATGACAAGCATAAACAAACCAATCCGATACGACTGCATCACAGTTGTGACGGTATTTAAGGCACTGGGTCACCTGGAATTAACTATTTCACTCCCAGACAAATGGACTTCCCGGCCAGTGTTGTTGCTCTATTCTTAAGTAAGTTTGAATTTTGTCCTACTTCCTACCCCGTTCTTATGCTTCTTAATGTCCCAATGCATGGAGGAGAAAAGTTGCAAGTCGGACTTTTGTGGTGGACTGCGTTCTATTCTTATTGCAACACTCAGTTCAAAACTGTTTATCGAGCCAACTATTGGCCATTTGAAAAATTTCACTTGTTTCAAAAGCTTGTTTAAAGACTCAGCAATGCAATTGATGCCCACGCATTCGCCCTTAATATCGATTGATGAGACCACACTAGCCTTTCCGGGCTCGATCAATAATCGATAACTTTGCAGTCCACCGACCTTCGTTAAGCATAAATGATTGCTAAAAAGCTGGTGAGAAAGGGAAATAATAGCTTCGCGACTGCAAAGCTTATAAAAGCGGCCTATAAATCCGTAATGCATTCCAACATCACTTTATTTACCTCTGATCACTGTCGTCTGTGCTCGGCGGTGTTGGGTAAACATCCGTTTCCATATACTATCCACATTGGCACCACAAACGTGCAGCTCCCAACAGTTGCCAAGATGTCGGTAGCCTCGCTGCGGTGCGGATTCAACCCATCCAATTGCTATGTCATATGATGATACACTGCTCCATGTCGATATGCGAAAAACCTTTTTCTTTGTAGTGCTTCATGTCAGTATGGCTGAAATGCCATCCTCCAATAACTCTCCCTATGCGCTAGCAGTGGAGATGCAGAAGAACCTCAATGATCAAATCAATCTTGAGTACGAGGCATTCTATCTCTATGAGCAGTTAGTGAGTCTACTGATTTGCAAATTCAGTAGCGCTTTTATGAGATCATTTTTGACACGTCACTGCTGCGTAGCCTAGCATAACTGCCTGCTTTCTCCTCGGGATAACAAGATCTGTGAAACACAAGTATCACAGCAAGATTAGAGTCGGTTGAAGATCCAATGTGCATGCCATGCGTCAAATTATTCTACAGAGCGTTTTGGAGATGATCAAACTATGCGATTGATACTCGCCTGCCTCAGATAAGAAGCCGAGAAGCTAAACCGATGATGATGTGACATGAAATAGCCTTTTCTGACTACCATAGAAAGCATAGAGGTACGAACGCGTCCATCAGGATCTCAGTAATATGACCTCGAAGTTTCCCTTGTCTACTTTGCACTGACGCGAGTTGTAACGGCTTAGTAACTACTTTTGGGGACTAGAGCGAAATCTTGGCAAAAGGCGTCAGTGTTTCAACACTAATACCTATCAACGGCGTCATCTAGAGAGGAAGTGCATTTGAGAAGCAAATATCTTTTCTCAATTGTGAGTCTCATAATAAGTGTTGTAGATTAACAGAAGGTTTGGGTTCTCTACCACTTGAAATGTCTTCCGATACTTCCATATGTTTTTTTTAACATTGTTTTGGTTGTAGGCAGCCTACTTTGCAAGAAGCGATAAGGCGCTTTTTGGATTTGCTGCATATTTCCGCAAGGCTGCTGATGAGGAACGTCATCATGCGCACGAACTCACTGAGTTAATGAATAAACGAATGGGAACAGTAACACTCAAAAATATTGAGGTAAAGTTAAATGGATAGATTCGAGTTGTATGCATAGACGGGTTCTGAATGCTTATATCTTCAAACTGACCAATAAAGGAAGGCGTTGGCTCATCCAGTTGGTCAGTGGCTTAACAACAATCGATTATGAGCGTTGTCCTTCCCCTGTGGAAAGAAATAATTTGTAGGCTAAATTTTAACTTACCTTACTCGTACCACGATTTTTCGCAATTTTCTTCTTCTCATACATTTGCCTAGATTCCACTTACCACACCCACCACATGGCGGACACCAGCGACCGCACTACGAATGGCCCTCGTCAAGGAAACAGAGGTCGCTCAACATTTGAGCGGAGTCTTTGCGAAGGCGCAAGAAATTAACGACTTTCACGTACATATTCATGCAGCATTCCTATTCATATCCCTACAATTAATCGAATTTAACTTTTTTCTCTCTCGTCGTCTAGATTCAAGACCGTCTGGAACACTTTGTACATGAGCAAGCTACGGCCATCTTCAAATTGCAGTCCCTGATCACTCGACTAGATGGCAAAAGTGATGCTGTAGAGTACCTCATTGACCAAGAACTTCTTAATCCTCCATCCATGCATGACTGAAAGCACTACGGACACAAAACTTGTAGATTTTTACCTCCGATTGTTATTACATGTCAGTTTCCGCCCGTTAAATAGTAAGAAAAGGTTTACCGATATTTCTGCCTAATATTTGGAAGGGAATGGGCAATACAAGACGTATGGGTGGTAAAAAGGTTGGCTGGTACTAAAGTCACGCTAGAAGGCCACAGCCTTTCCCTCCATCAATATTGGATTGCGTTTCAGGATCAATTTAGCTCATCACATTAAGATTTCATAAGCAATACATTAGCTCTAAAAGGGCTAAATGTCCTTCTAGATAAGTTTTGTCAACAATATGTGCACTTTTTTTTACTACATATCGAGTGCAATATACATGCCCTTGGAATTAAACATCCACCCTTATGAAACCTCGAGAAGTGAGTTGTTTAGGATGTAGGACGCTGTTTTCTTAATTTAGCCGAAAAAATTGACATGAGAAACGGATAGCTCGAATGGATTCAGCTGTGTACTCGTGTCCCGAGCCTTTCAAGTTCAGTCTGCTCTTAAGGCTTCAGTGGAAGAAGGTGATATTGTATTGGTCTAGTCACCCATCCTTCTACGTTTCGCCAACCAGCTTGGAATCATTTTATCCAGCATGCTGACTCCATTTTTATCTTTCTTTTGCATTCAGGACGCGTTCGAAGGTCTCCGAGCCCAAAGTACAACGTTTAGTGTTATCTTAATTTTTTCCTTAAATGGATTTTCCAGGATTGTCGTCACCAAAGTTGTTCCAAAAAAAGTTTGGTGAAAAAATGTGGGAAACGTACCTAAACATTGCGTGCTTTTGTTTGCATTAAGCTTGGACTAGCTCATTAGTGCTGCATTGACGACTTTAATGTTGACTTCCCTACATCTCCAACGTTGCCTGTAAAAAGAAAGTTCACAAATAACATCCCAGGCGCCACACTGCATTAACGATAAGCAAGCTATGCTGTTTTGAGATTGTGTAAATAAACTCCGGTAGTAATGGACCTCATTTGACTCCTTCGGCAAATTTGCCCATGAAGCAAATGTCAGATATGGGACTTCCGATTATCGCATCATCTGCGGTGTACTTGCAGTGATAGTAAGTAGAGAAGACACCTCCCTCCCCTAAAGGCAAACGAGACAAATTTTAAACTATTTATTAATTCGTTAATTCCCTCTGTTAAGCCGCTCCATGGAACCAAGACTGGACCATTTCTCCCATTGTCATTTGCATTAATTACCAATGTATCCGCGGCAAAAAATGGATTTCTTTACCCACTGTAGTTAACCTTACTGTTTTCTCATTTGCAATTCCTGGCAAATTGTCCAGTCCGTAGCCCTTCGTACGAGAGCAAATGGTTTCTCCAGGTGGAAGCATGATCTAGGCAACTTCACCAAAACTGACGTGCAGAATTATGATTCCAAATGCTAGTTAGGTGGTGGTGAATGTGACCAATTTGCCAACACTCGTTCACGCTTCACACGTAAACTACTGTACGCACTTCGGCCTTCAAGCCATTCATGTTTATTCAGGTCTACCAAAAATAGCGCCACTCGATGTGGGACTTTTTTCATCAGTACTATAGTACTACCGCCCCTCTCCTTGACCCACCCTTGGACAAATTCTGAAATTACTGAGAAGTTTCACAGAGGAAAGCCTGAAAGGTTGTAGAAGATGCAGGGGACTGAAATAAAAACAAAAACGGAGCTAGGATCTCCCGAATGTTAAGATTTCCACTCCCTTCTTCTTTGATTTAATCTTCTCTAGGCGATGCAGCTTTACAACGAGGAGACCAAAACAACCTACTGAAATTCCAGGCCAGATTTTAATAATCGCATTTGTCGATAATTTATCCCCTCCAAATTAGCTGGGCAACTCACCGTTATCCATTGCTAAAAAATAGCAGCCAGTATTGCCATTCAACCATGTCACCGCTGATTAAGACGGATTTTTTCCTAAATAAGAATCCTAAAACGAAGTTCAAATGTATGTGGAACCGTTCCATGTCAAGTAACAATACTGTTCGGAATCGTATTGAAGCATCTTTACCCGAATGCAGCTGCTAAACCTTCTGTACCTACTCTTTCTTATCACACCTTTTACCGAGACCTGACAGAATCAAATGCGCTTCAGAGCTTGATGATCCCCAAATTACACTTAGTTTCACAGTTTCGAAAAAATCCATTCCGTTTTAGCGGTACCACCAGGATAAACTACTTTCCGTAATTACCCCTTTATATTAAAATGTAAATCCGAATCATCACTCGTCACAAGTTCGATATTTACTGTAAAACACAAACGTCGTAAAACCATTGGTTATCTCAAAGTTAGGACCAATAAAACACACCGCCTACTTATATTAAATAAGCGGCAAAGTTATGGTAGAAAATATCATTTCATTGAATGCTTTAAATGCTAGACGTGATGGTGCCAGTGAAAAATGTCCAAGGGCTAGTCATCACCCCACATTGCCCTTCGATTCTGCTCTTTTCGCTCTCGACGCTCTACAATTGGAAAAAAATGTGTGCCAGAATGTAGGACTTACGACAACGAATTTATCAGTCGGTCTTTAGAATGCCATTTTTGTAGAACGCGCGAAGCTTAAAGCTTCTAGTCTCAAAAATCTCCACACTAGCAAAATTGCCACGGGAAAGAAACGTAAGCATGGAACTAAAATTTCCTATGATTTGATCAACAGTTTATTCACCTGCCTAGTAGAAAAGTTTCACTACGTTTTGCATTTTAAGTGAAAGCGTGCAACATCACCAAGAATTGAACATTTCTGCCGTTTCCTACTGTATGATGGGTTAGCAACTACCAGTCTTATCGGCAAAACAAGATCAGTATTCTAAAAATATTCAGAAGGAACAGTCAAAACAATGGCTTCAGCCAAACCCCAGTAGTACCGAGAGACAGATAAAGGGCAAGGGACAAGCCGCCCAACTTAGAATAAAACTATCAGCCAACGACGAGGAGTATTTCAAAAAGACTATATAGTACGGCGGTTGAGAAGAGATATAGAGGTCTGCGAAATCGTTAGAATGGGTGGAACAGTGGCAATACCACGAGGCCAAAACCGTTAGTCGATCGGTAAATCACCTCACTGATTTAACTGTAACATCACATATGTGGCAGAGGTGAAAGGATCGACGTCCGATACATAGTGGGAAAAAAACTAAAAAGCTCAGTAAAATTACACAAATGAATGACAAAAGGCAAAAAATATTCAGCCGTTTGGTGTGCCATACAATGATACTACTGAAGTTCAATCCTCACGAAATATTGAACCTCCATAAGATATATAAGGATTGAACCTCAAGGGAAATCAAAGAAGTATGAGGCAAGGACATCGAGTGTAACTGCCTGATCAACTGAACGGCAACAATAGCCAATACAATTGATCTACCCACCAGTGATGAATATGTAACCTGTGTAGAACCTCTATATCGCACACAATTAGAGAAGTCGCTGAAGTCGCTAACCTTTGGCTTCTTTTTGAGCCTGGAGAATGGTAGGAGAGGGTTTAGGTCGAGGTAATCCCAGATGAGAGGAGATAATTCGGTTAGCGACGCTACTATCACAGGGTGGCCGTTTCTTATAAGGCATTGTCCAGTCACCTTGGGACTTGGCAACCTTCCATTTCGAGGCCAAGGATGCCTCTTCTAGTATACGAGCCTGTTGGTAGAATAAAAGGAAACATTTGGCTCATAACACAAACAAATGAGTAAGACTGTGATGAGCTTTGAAACCTTGATAAGGGCCCCGTTGATGCTTCGTACGGCCTGTTCTGCGGTAAGGAAAGAGGAGAAGACGGCGAGGCAATGAGTGTCATCTACCCACTTAAGGATGAATCCACTCTCATTATAGGGACGCAAAACGGTTTCAAGGGTCATGGTTTCAAGATCAGCAGGGAAGTCGTAGAGTTCAATTACGTGGCGAAGCTTATTGTAGTCAAGGTTGGGACCCTGAAGATAGTTGCTAGAGGCACCGACAGGGACTTTAATTACTTCTTTGGGTTTTTCCTCCTGAACACAGAGCCCAAAATCAACAAAACTATCATCATTGAGGCTTAGATGTTGGAGAATGTTGGAAAGATCATCAGGAGGCTGTTTCTCGCTATTATTAGTACATGTCTGGGGAAAAGATGGCAGATCACGCTGTTTTGGCCGTGAGGATCGAGAACCACGAAGACTTGGAGGGACGTATATTTGAGCGGAAGGCCGTTTCGTCCCATGAGAATCTGTGTTAGTTGTCATATCCTGTGCTAAAAGTAAAAAACTCAGGTTGACCACAAGGTAACAAAATAGCTACGATTGCGAATGAAAATATAGTATAATAAATGACAATAGGAGAGCAATAATTAGTAAATCGCCACAGCAAATAGTCCACACTACGCTTGCTCATCAGCGCGACACACCGCTTTATAATGCGCACTATTCATAATAAGGGAAACCAATGAACAATTTCTTTAGCTAATATTTTGTATATTGTTTATGTTGTCTAAATCCAGACTTTAATTTTTGTAAATTTTTTCATGTGTTAAGATTTGCAGTTTAAAGCACTACTTTTGATTGTCACAGTTATGAATCTATATGGGTCTGTGTGGTCAGGGCTGGGGGTTGGGTGTAGAGTGTCATGCGATACGGTACGCAAGATCAGATGGGGGACCTTTCGTTGGCATCGCCTTTTCTCTTCACTTTCTGATGCATTGATCGACCCTAAGAAGGGTTCGATCTCCGCAAACGTCAACATTGTTAATTATAGCCTCGCTGGTGCCTACATTGTTTCCTACAACGAACATGGGTTCTTGCTAAGCAATGGTACGGTTATTCATGGTCCCATGGTTTCATTTCCACAAAATGTATTTTCTTGGAGAGTAACGTGTGGTGTTTCTCTAATTCTTGTCCAATTTAACTTAGGTTAATTCAGCAGATGATATCAACGAAGAGTCCCTGTCTTTGTTTAGAATCCTGTGCCCCGAATTAGGTATGCTTTTGACTAAGGTTATTTAAATGTATAACTACTGTTTCAGAAGTCCTAGTCATCGGCAAAGGTGCGTCCAGCGAGAAAATTAATCAACGAGAAATAATGAACATGTGTTGGAGGCATAATTTGGGCGTTGAAGTCCTGTCAACTGTGAGACTTTATCAATTCTTTTTCGTGCTTGAATGTCTTTTAAGTACTAATCTTGCTTTATAGGCATCGGCTGTGGGCACCTTCAACTTTCTCAATTTCGAAGGCCGTTACGTTGCAGCTGCTCTCATTCCTCCAATCAGCAGGGAAGTATATGATGATCGCCAGCGTCTGAAGCAGCTTGAGACGTCTCGAGAAATCCGTCTTTCTATTGAGAATAGTTCCAAGATTAAGAAACTCCCAACACCGGAGCCTCCCGCCTTTCTGAAGCGACTCACCCATTCGTCGGAAAAAGACAAATAGTGATATTGTTCTGTATATCTCGTGCACAGTCATGTTCAATTTAACGATATACGGCTTTAGCAGTTCCATGCCTTTTGCCTTTTTCCAAGCTTTGCTTCTTGTTTCGGCCTCGTATCTTGTTTGAGCTGCTCCCCCTTTTTACAGTTTTGGTTCCCCTATTCAGAAATAACTAGAAAAGGCAAAACCGCTGACTATGCTGCGTCGAGTTATGACAGTTGCATCTCACAGAAGTCGCCGTTTGGCATTTTCTACCAGAGCTAGAATCCCAACGTCAAATCAGGAGAAATCAGACGATGAGAAGTTAGTTCTACCCTCATTGAAGAGATTGGCTAATCGCAGCACCGTTGCCATGCAAATGCCCAATATGACGCGTAAATATGCTGTCTCAGATGCTCCTCTCATTCCCAGTTATTTTCTTGGGAAGCTACAACTGGTATGTTGTTGCGATATTTGTAGCTGTAGCCAGTCCTAATATTTATGCTGGTTTGAGGGAGTGGGTATCAAGCTTAATTTTGATGATTAACTCTATTTTCCGTCGGGAATCTCGGAATTTTTGGCTCTATTGAGCAACAAGGAGGAGTGGGTGTGCTTTCTTCCTGTAAGGGGTTGTTCAGGCGATTTAAAGTGAATTTTTTAACAAAATTCTCCAGGCATGGAATGCAGCACTCCCCCCTTGCGAACAAAATGCCACACCATTTGTTCATTACGTCAAACGATGTGGTCATTGCAATGGTTTGGTTTTGTTCCTTGATTGACTCTACCTTCCTCCATTTAAATCTTCTTCTTGCGCTTAACTTTTCTTTCTCCTGTTCCATTTGCCTTTAGGAACTTTTGGAGTACCCCGAATTGTCCACTAAGGAGGAGGTGGTTCAAATCAACAATTTGTTCTGTACAGTGGAAGACTGGGCGACCAAAGGTGGGACCATCGAGTTCGCCTTCCGCATTGCAAATATTTACCCTTTACTTTTCTTGAATCTGCATTCAAATTCAAGCTAAAAATTCGTCATTCAACCTCCCCCCCTCTCACTCTAGTTGACAGCAAATCAATTGACGAGAAAGGCATCATTCCAGAAGATGTGCTACGCGATTGCAAAATCATGGGTCTCTTTGGTCAGCGAGTTGACCCAAAGTATGGCGGATTGGGTATGACTCCACTTGAGTCTGTTCTTGTTGCTGAAGCAATGGGATATGATCCTTCGCTTTTCGCAACTTTCGCGGTACACGAAGCTCTCGGTTTGAAGGTTTGACTCCTTGTTTTTTTGTGTGTTCTTTGGGAGTTCAGGGTAACAATTATCTCTGTCAATGTCTAGAAACTTTAGAACTGAAAGGATCAGTTCTAGTTGTCTTTTATGCTTATCGTCTGGAAAAAGACATGGAGTCGCTTTTGAACCACTTCATATCCCCTTCAACTAATCCTTACAAATAGGGATTCGTCAAAATGTCTGAGGCGGCATTCTCTTGTCAAGGTTTTCCTTTTTTAAAGCTTCTGGTTGATAATTTAAGGTGAGGGCGGGGTGTGAGGATTCTTCGCAGCAAATGTAAATAAATAGACGCCATATTGTTAGTGTTACTTTCATGATTCCCAGGTTTAATTTATGCTTCCATGACTCTTACTACTCATTGGTCTTGACCTCTAGGGTCTTCAGCTCGTAGGTACCGCAGCACAGAAGGAGAAATACCTTCCAAATCTTGCTTCCGGTGAAATGATTGCGGCGTTCTGTTTGGCCGAGGTAATCAGGTACGTGCTTTGTCTCTGCTATCAGCGCCACTGTTAGGTTGCTGATTTCCCACTTTTTTGCCAGTTAAGCAATTTTGCATACTGCCATGATGTCAGCTTGGTTATGATCTACTTATGTCGATGTAAGTAGCGTTACCAACACGTTGACTATTGCATAAAATTTGGTAGGTTTTTTTGTATTTTTATCCAATTTCGTAGCCTCCTTTTTTGGAGGCTTATTTCACTATCATTATTTGATTTGCGTTTTCTGGTTCATGTGCTACTTGTTTTGCCGTTAATATTATTGTGTTGTTTGTCATTGTCGGAATTTGGTAGATTTTCGGCTTAGTTTTCAAACTTTTTTTTACGTGATAACCGTACCACGTAATGGAGCCTTTGTCGGTACAATGATTACATAACACTTAACTACCCTCATCGCCGCTCATGCCTTTCAATTTTGATCTCAGCGGATCCACACCAACGCAGACCCAGACTCGAGCCACTCTCAGTCCGGACGGTAAACATTATATCCTCAATGGTCGTAAGGCCTGGGTTGTCAACGGCTCACGTGCCGATGTCTTCACTGTTTTTGCACTAACATCTGTCCCCAATGAAAAGGTCTGTGGCCTGCGCATCCTTCTATCATTACATTTTGCGTTTTATTTGAGCTAGACCTGCACAATTCCTGTTAAGTGTGAATACTCTTCATGCCTTATTTTTCCTTCCTAATACCTCCCTCTACTTCCCTGTAGGGCGAAAAGGAGGATAAGCTTTCCGCCTTTCTGGTGGAACGCGGTTTCGAAGGCACCATTGAAGTTCAACCCCCAATCGAGCGGATTGGGCTTAGAGGGCTCGACCGTAGGTTAATTTTTCTAGTTTGCTATCCATCTACTGTCCTACTCGTCTTTACTTTTCACAGTCGTCGATGTATCCTTCAAGGATGTTCGAATACCGGTTGAGAATGTTCTAGGGGCTTTAGGCTCCGGTACTGAAGTAAGTTTCTTCTCATTAACTTTCCTCGACCTCCACAAGACGTTAGAGAATTGTGTTTAAAGCTACTGCTCTCCTTAAGTTGCTCTTGTTAATGACTTGCGGTGCTTCTGTTTTGACTTCTGCATCAGGCATGCGTTTCTTGGGTGGATCCGCTCTTGCTGGCATCAGTATAGTGGGCATTTCATTCCCTCTAGGAGCTGCAAGCCATGCCAGTCTTGTACTTCCATGATGGTCAAATCCTTGTATTTACAAATCAAGTGCCGTTGCGATGAACATCTGTTGTTTCGAATTGCTGTCTTGGTGTAGTAATTTAGTGTGTCGTTGCTGCTCACCTCTCAAAAGAAGGGAGTAGATGGAGAGAGCTCATTCAAGCTCCATTATCATTATGGAAAGGCCATTGAGAGTCCTAGCACTTTCGTCACCCCTTCTATTGCACCATTTTTTACTTCCATTTATTTTACTTCTAGCTCTCCGGGCGAATCGCAAGTAGTGAACGTTACCTGGTGGGCGGTCTATGTGTGGGTCTCTGTCGCGATGTTCTGGACGCTCTTACGGATCATTGCAACATGCGCCACCAGTTTGGGCGTCCTCTCAGCCACTTTGGCTTGGTACAGCGTCGGTTAGCCCATGCTGCCGCTCAACTCTATGCGATGGAATCGGTTACCTACCTTGTGGCCGGCTTTTTGACTGCACAGCCACAACGAGATTTGATGATTGAGTCGTCGGCAGTCAAGGTTAGCTTATTGGTTGGTTCATTAGCTGCATTACCTCCGGTTTGATCACTTTATCTGTCTAATTATCCCCCTCTCTTATCAACGTATTAGCCAGGGTGTTGTATTTTGCTTACTTTTCATAAAAATTGAATTTAATCACCTTTGCTATTGGAATTATGCCAAGAGGAGTTCCGTTATACGTTGTCAAGGTGGTAGATCTGTCTGCCTATCCGTCTCTTCATTCCAAATGTGTGCTCAAGTACTCTGTACTATTCATCGTTTTTTAGCTTAAGGTCATGTAACTTACCAGTTAAATTGTATCCATTTGCCTTATTTCACTAATTGTTCTTGATTTTTCATCTCGCCGCAATGAATTGTTCATTGCAACGATAGATGGTTGGTCCGTATGGTAGACTCTACCTAAAGCATCAGGGTTCTGTTTTTCGTCACCTATCGATCATGGAGGGACCCGTAGGATTTCGTGCTTTCACATTGGCCCAGCGCACATAACTATTCCAATTTGTCCATCCATCTACTTGCCTGCCCAACCTTTGTAAAATTCTCCCACCTGGTCGTTTGGTCTAAACCAATTCCTTCATCATCACTCCGAGGTGAATGCATTTCCCGGTTTTAACTGAAAACTTCTGAGTCGCTTTGATTTGGAGAGAGAACTTCCTTTCCCTTCTCTGTGTGTTTATTTTTGTTCTTTCAACATGTTTGCCAATTCAAAGTTTACATCTTTCAGCTCTTTGCAACAGAAACGACTGTTGCTTTGTTGAATGACTGCATCGTATTGGCAGGGGCGCTGGGATTCACAAAACAACTACCACTAGAAAGGTTCCTGCGGGATTCAAGGGTGCTCACATCTTTTATGGTAAGTTTCATTACCCTGGTAGCCGCTAAGAGTCAGTCTGCTGAGACCTGCGTTTTTCACCGAAATTTCGGCTGAAAATTCATGTTTGACTTCAATGGATACGTCTTAGGGGGTTAATGACCTTCTTCGTGTCTACATCGCCTCAGCCAGCCTCTCCAAGGTTGGGAAGGAGTTACGCCGTTTCGTGGAGTGCGCACGCAGCCCCTCACAACATATGCTGTACATGCTTCGGGAGGCTTGGCGCAAGGATTGGCGCATGGAAATGCTGCTTCGTGGATGGGGTGCACCACCCTCTATTGTCACTGCGGCAAAAATGGAAACAGAACGGGGTGTACGAGCTTCAACCCGTGTTGGTGATCACCTTCATCCCAACCTTCAAGCCTTGGGAAATCGAATGGCGCGTCTTATAGTGCAGACGTATGAGTTAACTAGGCAGGTTCTTATTCTCCATGCTAATGTGAGTTTTCATCCATGGAGCCTCCCCTTTTTGTCACCGTAACCTTGTCTATCCGTTTTTCTCATTTAGACAATAAACGAAGACCAATTCTCTCTGTGGCTACTCTCAGATTTGGCTGTGGGACTATTCACGGTGACTGCAGTTTTAAGTCGAGCATCAAGGGCGAAAAGTATTGGAGTGAAATATCACAATAATGAGGTGAGTCCCTCTGTGATCACACTACTAAGGTACTAATTTCAATCTACCTCTGAACAATTTTCTCTCATAAGAAGCACAGACATCCACATGTAAACACCTTATTGAGCTTGTGGTTTATGGGCAGATTTGCCCACTCGTTTTTTTTTTCTACTCGTTCTCCAGCTGGAATTGGCCGAACTCTTTACATTGGAGACATTGGACCGCCTACAAGGCGAACTGTCTAGTTTCAAGCAGAAGGCCAACTTGCACAAACGCATTGCCAGCGTGATGGTAAAAGAGAACGGCTACGCATCGGTCAGTCCCCTCAGTCGTGTTTGGTAGCTTAACTTGAAGAATATCTTTTTTGATACTGATGGTATCGATATTATAGGAGTCGATGTTATTCATAAACACTATTGGATTGACGCATTTTTGGTTGATTTATAGGGGAATTGAGTAAGAGAAGTACCATGCTCAATGCCACTGGTGCGCGATGTTTGTTTGTAGTCTTCCCCTTCCTTAGAATAGTCGATGTTGTTAAGATTTGATTTCTAGCGTCTTGCTAAAGTCTCAATTAACTTTCATTGCTCCTGCTACGAAAATTCGCCTCGAACGGACATAGTGACCAACTTTGTTATGGCTAACGTCATCAATTCTTTTGCCATGATCTAATTGGTGCGCTGACTAAACCAATGAGAGGTCTGTTTGAAAGGTGATTGGTTTATTTTTGGTTCGAAGTAGGAAGACGACTCCCAATCGTAAGCACCGATTCTTTTTCTGGGTTTTCTTTTCTGTTTACCTTTCAATAACTATCGATCCCCCGGTCTTTTTAAGGTGTTTTTTACGCCATTTTAAACTGACGAAACACAGCTTTACCCCACCCAACTTTAGTCACGTAAGTTCGCTTGTGAGAGGGCATTAAGGTAACCGTGTATAGTTCCTTAGGAGCATTTGGCTTGACTTAATTTATTTATTGTTTATTTTGAATTTATATTGGTAATTATAAGGGGTCGTAAACATTTGACCTTCAATTCATGTGTGGTGGTGTATGCTGTTCACATCTAAGACTACTCTCTTCAAATGCACTAACAGTGTTATGGAGAGGGGAACGTCAACGCCATCCGGCTGTTATTTAACGGTTTTGATTCGACTGGTGCTGGTGGCTTTAGCCAAGGAATCTTCAGTGATAAGGGGCTGTTCCACTTTGGGCTGCGTTTATCAGTCGGCAACGTTATGACACCCTTTTGCAGTTTGGTGATATTTTTATCTACAAAGTATATAAGTTTTGAGCGGAATGTGATGCTGGTGGGGGTACAGATCGATCAGTTCTTCGCCATGTGCTGATATGTAGCAAACGATCAGGAAAATTGGTATGAGGAAGTTATTGAGGCGGTATTCTTTTCCGAAGCTATGAGTATCTTTATTAGTAGAGAGATTTGGATTCATTTCGTGGAGTTTTGGTCAAATTGGCCCAAACCAGTTAATGATCCTGTAGCTTTTTCTCCTTAAATTTCATTAGAGCTGTGGTACCGATAAGATGGGATATGTAAACGTGGTAGGAACATAAATAAGGAAAACCTGGGGCTGTTTTTTTATTAAACGCGTTTGGTATTTAAGCTCTTAATACACCCACTAGGTTCGGACTGGACGGTGAAGGATTACTTGGCTTCGTTCAGCCTTTGAGTAGGTATGATAATTGCTGATCAGTACTAGTAGGAGTTTTCTTTCAAAAGGGGGTTCGCTCGCTACAGCAAAGCTAATAGTCTTCTTCGATATTGTACTCCATTTCTCCCCAACTTCCATAAGTTTGTTGCAGGGATGTTAGATTTTGATGCGAGTGCTGTGGATAATGTCCGTTCGTACAAATGGCGTATGTTTACGGTTCTCGAAACACGCAGTTGATCAACTCTCAATTATAGATGAAAATAGCTGTAGTCGGTTCGTGGTAAAAGACGTCAGTGGGTTTTGCATGAAGTGGCGTTTGATGTTAGAAGAAAGTTAAGAAGAGCTCCGATTGAAGTTATGACAGCACAGTAATCGTTGCTGAGCTATAAGTGTAGTGAGAATTTGAGTTTAGCAGTTTGTCATTTTGAATTTTGGTTATCGACGCATCCAATTCAATCTCGTCCAAAGGGTTTCATATTTCTTTCTCTAAGGTAGACTTATAACCCTGCTTCAAGTATTGCACACACCTCCATGTCGGATCCATTAAGATTCAGAAAGATATACATGTTCATCAAAACAGTCGGGTAAAGTGCGTGTCGGCAGATGCCCAATTGTAGCTTGACAGTGTTGGAAGGGCACTGTAACTCCTTGTTCACTAGCCATTTGTCAAGAAGATCAATGCGATTGAAGTCGTCTTATGATAAATTACAGCGCCTTTTAAAAATTATGCTGCTGTTATAGGTGGGAATCGAGCTTGTTCTGCGACAATGCTAAGCCAAGATCTTTTGATTTATTAAACTATTCCTATTTTGTTTAAATGTACCACATAATTCATCTATTCGGACAATTACTGGTTGATGACATCCCTTGTGTTTATTGGCTTACTTCATTTTCGCGAACGCTGCGCATTACAGCGGTGTTCGTGCTTCTTCCGCGGCGTTGATTCGGAAGCAACCATTCTTGGAGTGTTCGGGCTTGGTTCTTTTGTCTTCTCTCACAATTGATCCGGTATTCCGATCTGGAGCTTCTCTAGTTATTTTTAGCATCCTCTTCTGATATCGTGTCCTATTGATATGGGGAAAGGTAAAACGTTCGAAGATAAGATGCGGTATCGAAAATCAAATAGCCCAAATGGCATACAAAAGGATGCTTCTCCAGCTTTAACCAACAAAAATATTGCACAGTTAGCATCTGAAAAGTCACGGATTCGCAGATCGCACCGCAAAACGCACGTTGGATTGTTCGGTGACCTTGGCTCTGAACTTTGCCGAAAGCTTATTGTGGGTGCTTTTGTAATAATTGTCATCGCCATTTTGCTCCATTTTGGTGTTGAACACAGTTATACTATGAGGCGGCGTCGTCAAATCTATACTCCAATAAATTTACCCAAAATGATAGGCTTAAATGAAAACGGGCCAGAAACGTCATCTGACTTGTTTTGGGGCACATACAGACCTAGTATCTTCTTTGGAATGTCGCACAGAAGCCCTCATTCAATGCTCTTTGGTCTGGCTTGGGTATCGTTTGATGGTAAATCAATGCAATTACGACATCATTGTACGAATGAAGGTGATATAAAGAGGTGCGTGATTGGTCTCAATCGAATTAAGGTCTCTATAGTCAGCGTTTTTTTATTGATATGTTTTAATTTATTAATCGCCGTACTGAGTCTGTCGTGCTTTGATGTTATGCCCTCGTTTAATTGGGGTTCCTGTATCATCTCAGCTATAATTGGATTGAACACGATGGACGAAACTATGGCATTGAACAAATCATCGCTGGCAACCACAATATCACAGTGGCATTTGTCAAGCGTCCGGCCACTCCCAGTGGCGGTGATTGGTCTGCTCGGATATCTGTTTCTTCGGTCGATGGTGTAAGTCTTCCCAAACATCTTATTTAAGTTGGCAAATTCGCTGCCATGACTATCTTGACCTTTCATCTGGCTGTTTTAATTTATTTCCATCCGTAAACACATAAATTTGCATTGTCGGTGTTGATGACTAATAAGCTTTGAGATAATTAAGCTATATGGCCGTTGGTGCCTGTTACTACGCTTCTTTGCTGTCGTCCTTACTTTTCTACACGCCTTGCAGCATGGATGAGCTCATTAACACGCTTGATTGTAATGTTTATAGTCTCCGTTAGTTTGGATGTGAAGGACCGAGTCATGTTCTGTAATGTCTTGAAGACTCATTTCTTTCACCTAGTCGCTTAAGACGCCGTCAATTTCGATCCTCTTCTACGCCTACTTGCCCGATTCCACAAGAGGTCGTATTCAGTCGTACACGAACGGAAATGAATTGAAACGATTAAGAGGTAAGTGCGGTGCGTCTTTTTGAATTTTGAAAGTTCACGTTTCTCAAGGAGTTCTCCCCCTTCTAATCCCTTTTTTGTTTCCTTACTAGTGACTAGTGATAGCTCACATATGTACGGCTGAATGTGTGTAACTCTCTGCGTTCGGGCGATCATTGGGGATGAAGTACTTATGGGAAATTTGTGCATCGATTAAGACATCACTAGTGGATTGTTGATTCAATCTCTTTATTCATTCAAGAATTAACAATAGTTTCTTTGATTTGAGTATGACAGCTACTATTTTCCTTAGCTTTCGGTTGATTGAAAAGCAGTGGGAAGAGTTTATTGAATTCTCCTCCCTGAATTAGAAATTTCGATAATAATGAACTATATTGCTTCATAAATTTTCCTTATTTGCTCTTTGAGTTTTCTCAAGCTAGTTTAAAAGAAATCACTGTCTTTTCGTATTGCAGCCAGAGCATTGCCTCATCAGTTTTAAACTACTCTGTCGCTTGTGTGTATCTGATACCGCCAGAAAGGTATGCTATGAAATTTGCAGTTGGTGACCTCTACATGTGACTTACTAGGGGAGGCGATGTTCATAAAAATGTGCCTCAACCATGAAAACCTTTTCAGTGGATTTGTTGCTCCATCTTCGCTATTGGGTACATAGAGGCCAGTGCTTTATGTTTTCTAGCAGGCAACTCAATCTGGTTATCACCCATCGTTTGCTCATTCCACTTGTTCATTCCCTCTTTCGCTCCGTGATTTTAAAGAGCCGTCATTTTGTGGATTTCTAAGACACTTTGAACCAAATTACCTGCGACAAAACAACTCACAATGGGTGTGCCTTATTTGCTTCAAAGTGGGAATTGTTGCTATTTCAAGAGTTACTTCTCTAGTTTTATCATTTAAGGTTTCACTCAGGAGTTAGGTGCCTTCCAAGTGAACTTTCACACTGCAAAAAGCGGTACTCTTAATCCCACTCATTTGGCTGGCCACTGTCCACGCGAAGACGCCCTTGTGGCGGCCATATCGAGTGGATTAATGCTGCGCGAGGATCGTCGTTCAGTTTTCTTTACGGGAGACCAAGTGAACCTCCAATCGCGTGGGATGACAATGTCGGGGCTACCGACCAACCTTTGGGTGATGGAGGTCACCCGACCCTCTATACGCCCCGCACGACGAAATTCCTCTGATACAAATGTAAACGACGCTCATTATCATACTGATCCGCCTCTAGACATATTAGAGGTGGAATTTGTCTCACAAGCCTCTACTTCTTCTGATGCCGTGCCTCTAGTCGGCTCACGATTCAGCGCAGCTTTGAATGAGCATTCAAAGCGCTTTCATGAGGCCTTTCGTCGAAAATTTTCACACGACTCTCGGACAGTCAGCGAAGACCAAGTAAGTCATTTCTGCTTCGGTAGTATTGTGCCTCTTGATAATTATTCTTTCAGTTTGTTAGAAAATTGTGGCTTTAAGCAGGAACGTGAAGTGTCAGCATTCTTGGCCACGCACGTCAAATGCTAAGTAGGGGATAAGAAGTAGGTCAGAAAGGAAAATGAGCGAAAGCTGTTTCAAGTTGTACCAGAAAACTGTACAAACGAGCACGTTAAAGATAGTGCCCTGCACCTTGCATTTCTAAATATTTTTCTGGTATTCTCGGGCTAACTTGTGTGGCGTAATCCACTGAATTTGAAGCAGATATGGCCCTCACCAAGACTTTTTCCTGCATTCTCTGGAGGTCCTTTTTTAAGTAGTATACTTTTTCGTCCACTCTATGTGAAATGATTTTTTAAAGGTGCTACCACATTGCGTTAAAATCGCACTGAGATGGTCAAGGGCTAAACTCGATTTAAAGCGGATTCTGCTTTCCTAAATCCGATTTCAAGGTAGTTTAACCGCATTCCTGCTGAGCAGTGGTTTCAGAGCGCCTCGTTTGTTGCCTTGAGCGCAATGATTAAATAATGTGGTACTCATCCATTTGGTTAGCTTTTTGAGCGTTTCTGTTGTCTGCAAAGTGGCATCGCCTTCATCCGTCCCCAATGTTATTCACGACATTCCATTTCTTCATGGCGGTGGGACGCGTGCTCTCGAACAGTGCCTTGATGGCTTTCAGAGGACAGCAAAAATATTCATTGGTTACCGATATGTAGTGTTTCATTAGACCTTCAGGTTCTGAGTTAGTAGTTGCAAGCTTTTCATAGCTGCTTTCCAAGTTGACCACGCTGTCTGTTTCGATAACAGATACCTCGTCTCACAAACTTAAACGAACACAAATGGCAGTGCACGGGAGACTGTGTTTATTCAATTTATTCGGTCACTCAATTGAGCCACCAAGGCTACGGAGTCTCAAGGGTAGTAGTGGTATGTAGACGATGCCATCCTCCGAATCTGTGACTTGATTGGGTTGGCAGCAAGATTAGTAACGAGGCTGACAACTTAATCAATGGGTGCAAGTAGCCTACTTGCTGTATGCAAGTGATGATGTACGGTGGAATGCGACTCGGGCAGAGATCTAAATCAAACGTAGTGAAAGAAGAGCAGCAACATGATGTCTAGTTTACGCGGTTTCTATTAACAAGAGAAATTCAAAATTCCTTTAATGCCTGTTCATGAGTCTCCTTTTGGCTCTCCCACCATCCATAATGATCCACAACTACTAACTCAGGGATTTGTGTTTCATCTTGCATCGTGATATCTCCCTATCGACAGTGAATCAATGAAAAAGTTTTTTTTTAGAATCTACTTTTGTTATGCTTTGAATCGGTCATCACATTTTGAGACTGGTTATTATCAATTAATGCACAATCTTTATTCAGTCTTTGTTTCGATCTTAAGGGTGACACGAAGTTAGAAAGCCGTGAATGTGGCAAAAGATAACATCTTCAAAAGCAAGTAAACTTGAACTTTCCCGTGTTAACTATTTCAATAGAGTTTCTTTTCAACAGATGAAACTATCAAGGATGTCGCTGAGTAATATGCTTGGGGGTATGGGGTACTTCTACGGCACCAGTCTCATCAACTCACCTCTGCTCGAGGCATCGACGTCCTCCTCAAAGTCCAAATCCACCTCCATTCCATCTGTGGAGTACTGGCCTGCCGCACTTTTCACCGCCACCCCTTCTCGTAGCAAATTTCCCCGCGGATTCCTCTGGGACGAAGGGTTCCACGCTCTTTTGATGGCTCGATGGGACATAGAATTGGCGCTGCAATCCCTTGGGCATTGGTTGGACCTTCTCAATATGGAAGGGTGGATTCCTCGAGAGCAGATTCTTGGGTGGGAAGCTAGAGCAAGCGTGCCTCCAGACTTCATTATCCAATCCACCACAGCAGCTAATCCGCCGGCGCTTATTCTCGCAATTGACGTAAACTGTGCACATAATTTCATATTATATGGTGTTTTCCCATTTCACAAGTAGTATAGTTACTTGCTCTATGGCGATGGATGTTTTCTAGTCCAACACTAATGATACTTGTACTCTGATATTGTCTTCTTCTTTCCTTCTTTCTTCGTTGCTTGTATTTCATGATTATTGTTTGTTTAATGGCGAAGCTCGTCTCTAATTAATGCCTTTGTTATGAAAATGACCTTGAAACGATTCGCTTGGCATAGGGGACTTTATATGCCAATCCAACATCATGAGCTGCTTTTTCTGTAAGTGGATTCCACTCTTGGGAATTGTACCTACTTCTTCACTGTCTAGACATACCGTTCTTGCCACTCTGAACCAATGATGCTCTAGCTTGTAGTTTCACATTCATTCTAATACTTCATAAGGGTCTGATTAGGCTAGCCGATTTTTCTTGTTTCCAATGAGATTGAAGAGCGTTTCCGTTTAGGATAAAATACGGATGTTCCCTTCGTTCGTGAAGATTGTTGGGTAAAATCTGCCTTCACCGTGCCGTAAGCAGTCATTGTGGAGGGCTATGGCATTACTCTTTGCTGAATCATCCTTCATTGCGAGGCCTTTGCCATCAACTTGCTGGTGTCTAGGTCATGATATGCCGCCTTTTAAATTATTTTGGCTTCTGTTTATGCTCTCATGTCAGCCGTGCTTATTCACCCATCCCAAAGCGCATTAGGCTTTTCAATAACCTTCACTTTTTACGAATCGTTTTGTACTGGATGCACAAACAAAGGAAACAGCAGATACCTTTAAGGGAGAATGCTTTTTTCCTTCGTTGATCATACTACTGATGACAATTTTTTCTTAACCATCATTGTTTTGCCAGATTTATTTTATCTGTTTTGATATACTGACATAATTTCATTCACACCTGAAGATCATGTCGAAATGCCCGATGACTTACTATAAGTGTTGCAACTCTTTTCGTACAGGACATTTTGGACCGTTTGGAGACGGATATGACTAAAGAAGAAGTGGCACTATTCGATAGGTGGGCTCTTGTCGCCTTTCCGCGTCTTAGGGCCTGGTTCGTTTGGTTTAGTACCACCCAGGCCGGTGAACTGCCTACTACATTTCGGTGGCGTGGACGGCCTACTGACAATCCCTTCCAACTGAATCCTCTCACTCTTGCCTCGGGTAGGTGTGGTGCTCTATTTTAAGAGTTTTCTTCCAATATTTCCCTACTCTCCTCCTTTCTATTTGTTGGATAGTTGTAACGATTCCTGTACTCTAGGTTAAACAAATTTAAAGTCGTCTGTTAGTAGTTCTCACTTCTCATTTCTTGTGTCTACATGTGCGTTTCTCTAATGGTTTGACTTGGCTTCTGGAAGGGTGGCATTTCTTTTCATTTGACCTGCAATATCCTCTACATTCCCACTGCTCAACCTTGGTATCCTTGCGCCTCCCAGTACGCGCTCGTCCTTCTTTTTATTACATTATTGATGTTTTTGGTGCCACGGTAGACTTGGGCACTAACGACTTATTTTTTAGCGATTTTGGGGTCTCATTGGTGTTCCGTGCTAATAATTCGATTAAATAGAGAGACTCTATCAAAACAAGCCCACCAGATTATTATTTCATGTATACCTAATAGGATCAGAACTTATCTTGCTGGTTGCTCTTCTCTGCGCCCTTCTATTTCGGCTCCATCAAAGTTGGCGCCTAGGATTGTGGTTTAGTAGTTTAGAGGTTTAGTTCTGCTTCACCTTGCGGGATGGATGTGCCAGGGGTAAACAGCTGAATACCTTTACTGATAGCTGGCAGCAGACCTTCCGCCAATCAATAAACACTCCACCTTCAGACCTGTTCATGATGATCACATTACGTTTCTTCTTCGTGCTCTACCCTTCCAGCACTATTTAATTTTGTTGTTTCAATTGCTTGATTGCTTCTGCCATGAAATCACTCGTTTCTTCGTCTAACTGCGCGATGTAAGTCTCATGAAGTTACGAGCGTTCGTAAACTGACGTCAGTATAAATTCATTTTATCAAAGAATCAGAATGAGCAAACTAGGTATAGTATGGAAATTTCACTTTTAATGGTCATCACTAGACTTTTACAGTCTCCCTAGAGAGCCGCTGAGTTGCATTTTCCATTGGCGATGTTATCGTAGGGTAATGATAGGTGTGCATTCCCAATAGAGTTGCATCATTATCGTTTGCATTTTTGTATGTCTTGCGCCGCAGTTTATTAGGCTTCATGTACTCACACCCACATAGGACTTTTAATATGTAGGACGTGTTCTGGTCACCTCTCTTCTCTTTGTTCGTCAATACTGGTCAGTGTTACCCCTCTGAGCTTGGTTAAGGACACGGGTACGTTGAGGGACTAGAAGTAGTAAGTGCTGATACAGTTGTAGCAATTCGATCTAAAAAGATAATGGTCGATTTACATCACCTGGAGAAGTGATCGTCAAAACAAATGTCTCTTATTGCGTCAAATCCAGGTTATGACTTGGTACTTGGAAATTCTTTGGGATAGAATTATTTCTTGTTAAACTGAATTGAAATTTATTTAATCAAGAAAGATTATGGGGGCGTCTTTAAAGGTGTTTTGAGGACTTTGTACCACTCTGGCAAGGCTCTCCACTTCATCATTTGCTGTGCATCTCATGAGACTTGGGGAACTGTAGTCATTTATGCCATTTTCTGGTCTAAGTGACTAAGAACAAAGTTGCACTTGAGGCAGAGTAAAATCCTTTTTGAAGTGCCTACGAATGACTTAAAGTCACCCTCCTCTCTCTAGGTCTGGATGATTATCCACGTGCCTCGCATCCCACCACCTCTGAGCGCCATCTTGATCTACGTTGCTGGATGGCAGCGTTCGCTCGCACCCTATCACGTCTGGCTGAACACTTTCAAGGCAACTCATCTAATTCATCGTCATTTGGTGTCGAGGAGTATCGTTCTCTCGAGGCGCAGTTGCTCGATCCGCAGCTACTAGACGAATTGCATTGGGATGAAGCGAACGGCATCTACGCGGACTTTGGTCTTCACACGGATGAGGTGACTCTCGCCAGACCTCCTGTGACTCAGGCACCTAGACCTGGTCAACCTATGGTGAGTTATGTAATTCTTTCATCTGTTTGTTAGAAAGACGAGGTTGTGGAACAAGGGAAGGCCGTGGATTCGTGCATCTGATTTTGTGATTCTAGTGACTACCAAGTGGATCGATTGACTGCAAGTAAAAACCAGTTTTAAGATTATCTGCATCCCGGCGGGCTCGAAGCTCTGTTGAATGGTTGCATTGGTCAGATTACAAAAATGCAAGTAAAGAATGAACAATCTCTCAACTTCATGGGCGCTGTGCCTCATTGCTTACATTAGAAACTTGCCCCTCAGAGGGCTCAGCTATCCCCTCAACTAGATAACCTTGTCTTGTATTCTTTAACTGGCTTTGGTCCTCAAACTTGCAGATCGGAAGCCATCAAGAATTACAGGTTGTCTGGATGTGTGGCAATTCATTTTGAAAATGGAATCTATCTGAAACATTGCAGTATAAAGGCTGGAACTACATATCGAGGCTAATCTGGTAGTTTCGCGCAAAAAAAAGGATTTCTACACTAAAACAGCTGGACTGGCAGATGTAAAATATACTCGTTCTGTTCGCCTACCACAGCCACAAAAGGAGCGCCAAGTGTTGAAAGAGCCACAGGAACAGTGGGTATCCTCCAGTCTGGGCTACGTCTCATTCTTTCCTCTTTTCCTGCGTCTTCTCCCACCCAACTCACCTCGTCTGCCGAGCCTGCTACAACGTCTGGTCCATCCCGCCCTCCTCTCTCCTCACGGGCTGCGCTCCCTAGCGCTCACCTCTCCGCTATATAATCACGCCAACACTGAAAACGACCCGCCTTACTGGCGTGGTGCCGTCTGGATTAACATAAACTACCTCGCCGTCGAGGCCCTCAAGTAAGCATTCTCCCTTGCCTCGACTCGTCTTTATCCAGTTAGATAGAAAAGTCCGTCTGGCTGTTGATTCGCGCGTTTATTGATAGTCTAGCTGCTGTATTTTACTGCATTGACTAGGCATAATCCACTTGGTTGCGCCTCCTTTCTCCTAAAGCACCTTATTTCTCTGCGATGTAGTGGAAGCTAAGTGAGGGTCTCACAAGCTCTGACATTTGACAAGGTGTAATTTGCCAGCTTTCGTAGTCTCACCTTTATCACCATTCCCACTTTCGGGACATCAAATGCCCGCATTCCCCCTCTGCGTACATTTTCCCTACAGGTCCGTACCTCACTTTCCTGCTACTTTAATATGGAGTTTGCAAGTTTGGATGCTACCCTTATTGCAAATGTCTGCCGAAAAAGATCAGTAGCACATGTCAGCACTTGTTCTTCAACTTGCATAGTCGATGTGCTTCAATCACCTCTAAGCTCACCAGCAATCCAAATTGACCAACTCATACTGAAACTGTGCACTGAGTTTTCTATCTACAGGTACTATGCCCAACATCCAGACACACCTCCTCAAGTGGCGGAAAAGGCCGCCAACTTAAGGAAACGCCTAACAGCGACGATAGTGGACACAGTGTTGAACGAGCTGAATCGAACAGGTTCTACGTGGGAACGCTACGACGACCAGACAGGACGAGGATTGGGTGGACACCCCTTCAATGGTTGGACAGCGTTAATCAGTTTGGTCATGACTAATAAGACGAATAAAATGCAAGCAGGGAACAAAATGAGATGAGCTTAGGAAAATGTGCCCCAAGACTGTGATGTGTTTTTGCTGAACTCCGGTAAATTTCACCCCTAGCCCTTTTATATGTATCGCTCCATTCTTCATATTCCCCTTGTGAACGCACGTGAATCTAAAGTGAATAAAAATTAATATATGTACAACAACACTTAAAAATCGGGTGATAATGTGAGCCTATTTTTTCTCCGACTTTTTGTGCTTGTGATGGTGACCGTGATGCTTCCGGTGAGAGTGCTTGTGCTTGTTGTGAGAAGAGGATTTGCTTCTCGATCGGGATTTTCTTTTGCTAAAAAGGAAGATATGTTGGTGGATGGCATTGAACGATGGGAAATGGAAATAAAAGGGGATGAACGGACCTCGCCTTCTGCTTCTTCTTTAAGGCCTTTTTGGCAGCAGCTAAAAAGAAAAGTTCCAACTTAAGAAGTGTGGTTTGCTCACTCTGATATTCGGTAGTCTGATCAGAGTAAAACAAGCTAGATATTGATGGGATGGCAAGAAACACGGAGGAGATGGTATCACCTGAATTTGCTGCACTGGATCAGTATGATACTCGTTCTAAAAAGTCATATTTGCAATGAGGACCATAGGAACAGCTATAGACTAGTGTTTAAGGAGTTAGCTTCTCGGTAGATCAGAGTCATGGTAGTGGAGTTTTAGGAGGTAGTCAAAGTATTCCAAAAGACCTTACATGGCAGTGATTTTTGAATCGAAATTATAAGAAAATATGGAGAATGTGGAACTAATTAGCAAAGTCACGGTAGGTCGGATTCGAGCGGTGTGAATATTTAAGGGTACACATGTGCAATGCGGTTCTAATGTAGTAAGTATAGTATGCAATGGGTGAAAAGAGACAAACCCAGCTCTGCCTTCCTTTTCGCAATGGCCTCCTTAAGCATCTCATCATCGTCCGAGTCCGAACTTGTGCTTTCAATGTCTAAATCAATATTTCCCGTTTCGCCAGAACGCAAATAATTCCGACACTGAAAAGTCAGGTGACCCGCTAGGTAGATGGAAGCTGTTAGACAAATATATGCTTACAAAATCCACACTTTTTGCAGCCAACACGGAAGGGTCGTGACGACTGATTAGAGGCTGAACAAAAAGTTCAAAGAGTTCGGCAAAACTCACAATCCATAGCTCGAAATCAGAGAAAAGTGATAGCAAAGAGATCTCCCAATCAGGTGATAGAACACAGTTCACCAATTTGCACCACTGCTGCTGCAATTCATTGAGTAAAACAAACCCACCGAATTGTGAATCAAGCTAAAGATCAATGCTGTGGCTTTAAATCAAGCAGCTATCTTTAAAGCACGCTTTGAATGCGTTGCAAATAAGAATACAATTACTGTTTTTACTCATCGCTTCTTTTGCAACTATCTTAATGTGTTTTGCCTACACTTTATCGAGCTGGCTAATCCCTGAAGTATGCCATTTGGTTCTGTCCTTTCTAACAACAAATTTTTTGTATTGGACTACAAATGTGCGTTTGTTTGCCTTTATAAAAGCCCAGCCGTGGTACAAAGCGTGTATGGCCTAGTTTCGGAAGGGATGGAGGCGCCTGGCAAGGTTTGGACATCTAGTCAGCAGTCAGAACTTATACCCTAGAGGTCAACACTTCGAATTCTACAATAAAGGAGCTTGTCAGATTCGTATATCCCTCAGCTGCATACTTTTTTGTGTGGTCACCTTATCGCGGTCAATTTTGGTACTTCGTTCCAAACTTCAATTTTAGTTCTTCATTATGTATAAATTGCACAAAACCATTGGATCGCACAGGTTCAGAATATTCCTCATATCCATCAACAAAGTGCATTTATATGCAATTTTGTCTTAAACGTTTCTTACAATAAACTCTGACCTAATCCACAATTACTTCATTTCGAAAGAGCGAAAACTAGACTGCTCCTTTAAAAAGTGCTGAGATGATTGCAAATATTGTGATTTTAACAACTCACGTTCAATGATGTGAGGACTGAAGTGTGGTTGAAATTATCTGTTCGACAACTTAGTCGAATAATGATGTCCGACTTGGCACCATTGGGGCAAAACTGCAGGCCCGACACGGATTAGCTACGAACATCTATCCGTAGGCGCGTGAGCGGCAAATAGGTGCTTATGAATTATCCCCACTGAAATGCGAAAATTACACGGCGGAGTGTTGCCTAGGTTAAGAAACCACAACTACTGACCTCCCCAAAATCTAAATTATCTGGTGCTTTCATTCGAACTCAATCCAGAAAAGGCATAACTCAGCAGCATTATCAGTACCTGGCAGGATTTCGAAAAGGCCAAAACACCGCCAATCCCGTCCAAAAGAGCATTAGCAGATGCGATCGCAAATGAAATTGCGCAGTTGCCAGACCAAAGTGTGTCATGAGAGAGGTGACTTCACGACCACTCAAGAGGGTATACTGGCGTAACAATCTAAGGTACCTACACTTGTAAACATTGGCACCACATAAGTGACCACCAACTAGTCAACAACCATGTGTGTGCGTGTGTGTACATAACAAAATAAAGCTCATAGTTCCTGTTTTTGAGAGAGGATTCGAATGGCAAACACTACCAATACGAGGTTGCGCTGATGAAACTAGGGGTATGGATATTTTCAACACTCCATATATCAATTTATATCCCGATGGAGACGTAACTCTTAGCATCACTAGCCTATTCCTATTCATCTACTCTAAATGCACTCGATGACTGCACTTCATAAACACCGTAAATTTGGCATTTTCTTCGACAGATATGCGAGACTTAGAGATGTCTTATAAGAAATGTGCTGGTACAACAAAGAGACCTATAGTGGCTTGAAAGGTTAGGGGAGAGAATCCAATTCGAATTCTGTGCTCAAGAAGTAAAGAAATCTACCTCCGGACCGTAATAGACACCGCCTTTCCCCATTTCCTGCACTACCTTCTATATCCTGTTTACGACATCCAGTTAAGTTCACATATTCAAGCGGCCTCCTGGGGAAGGAGTTAAGAAGACTGGAAAGACGGAATACATCTACACTTGTACTAGGTTTTCCAAAGTGTGTAGACGATATGAAAATGGGAAAGGCGAGGAAGGCGATTTAGTCTCTGCATCACTGTTGTCCCACTCCTCCTCAACTGGCGTATAAGGGATAGGCTTCTGTAACAGGCATCAGAATACACGATATAGGGAAGAGTATAGAAGAAAAAAGGAGAAGAACCGGAAGGAGGTGCTGAAGCGCTCTGAGAGTTCTCACTAGGCTGAACGCCTGTACTATAGCAGAAGGAGGGATTAAGCTTTGGCTTAACCCGAAGACCAAGGGCAACACGAAAAACAAAGTAACTGTCAGACATAAACCAAGCAATACGGGTGCCCATTTCGGTCCAGAGGTTGGGGCTCTTGACTCGTCGAATACGATGTTTGGCTTGAATCTTCGTCTCCCACCTGGTAGACAAGTTTTAGACAGCTAATGCATATAATAGACGAGACTTGCAAGGCAGTGGGTGGGTAAAATTAGCTTGATTGCCTATAGTAACAGCAAACAATAAAAAGCTTCTCGCGATAGTTGCAAAATGTCTTTGTCTCAATATTTTGGGCGCCCCAAAACGCTGCAATTCAAAGCGCAATTTGTGCTGCACCAGTCCCATCGTAGTTCCCAATTTTTCTTATTAAAAAGGAATCAAAAGTAGTAAGTGGAGATCTTACCAATTCTCCTTCCCCTAAATCAACAGTGAAATTAGCATTAGTAGGACTTCTCCATTTGAGTCTTTTTTAAATCGTGTGTGAAGTGATGATTTCGAATTGACCTACACCCTCCGTCAAAGCGGCTCCAAATTTTAAGCCTGTCTTAAATTCGCACCCTCTGGCGTTGTCAACGTCTCTTTACGGAGAGGTGCAATCAGTAATGCCAAAGCCATCACAGACAGGCAATGACAAGCGACTCTTTTTCTTTTGAGAATTTAATTATGCACTTGAAACCTATTTCGTTGTCGTATCTTTGCAAAATAGAACCGACATTTTGGCAGACCTTGAGTGCCTGTGATGGACAATCCTCACGTTCTATTTGATGAGCAGATCAAATAGCTTAAAAACAAAGAAATTTATTCTAGCCATCGAATTTATTTCACAAAATTTTCGACTACCTATCAAGGAGAATGGTCATTTAAATGCCCAACTTATTCGATTTGTTATAGCCTAAATAACAATGTTCAGACAAGACTTCTGCTTGGCACTACCAAATGGAAAGTCACCTGACGCCACACTGGTGGCAACGGAAAGCAAATCCAACTTTACTGCTGCTGCTGCTGCTGCTAACCTGCCTCCCACCTTTTACCACAAACTTCTCCTGCACCAATGCAGAGCACGCACGTCGCATGAGAGAATCTCCAACTTCTGCTAAGCAGAAGGAAGGGCTGAGAACGTGTTTCGCAGACAAGGCGTTAACCACTGAAGCGATTCCACCGCACACCATGTGGTGAGCTTTGAAATCGGAGTTGCCACTTCCCCACCCGTGTACCGACGTTGGTGCTGACATTGCACTGAGATGCTTTCCACACACGACTGTGTTCGGGAGCCTCTTTTCTGCGACCTATTCCGATGCCTCGACGTGGACGCAATTGATGGTCAGCAGAGGGTTCCGCCTCTGTTTCCTGTGTTCAGGCTAATCGCAACTGCAGATCCAGTTGGAGGTAGTGGAGGGGTGGAGTGCATTGCATCAACTTCATAGGAGCAGAGAGGTGATGCTGCAGTAGCGTGGAGTGCATTGCAGAGGCATCGAATACGTTCTGATGGTCGGTGCGAAAGGTGTGTTGAGAGGAAAGTCGAGGAAGTTGTTTGAAGGAAGAGAGAGAGGTGCAGCAATACTTTGCTTATTTGATCATCTGAATGGGAAGTAACTTGGGTGCTCATCTTCTTCTCGGCCGGAAGGCTGGCCTTTGTGCCAGTCCAGATCTCTACTTCTTCAGTGTTCAGTATTCCAGTCATGCTTAATATTTTCCACTAATAAAATAAAAAGTTTCGGCCCATGCGAGCAGTTAATGAAGACAATGCCGAGGAATCCCTCAAGGTAGTCATCTATGCCTCCTCAACTCTCAGTCAAGTGTCAAATTAGTGGCTCAAATATCAATCACAAACAGTTCTTGGCCGTAGTGTGCTATTTGACGCTCCTGGATTATGTAGTGGAACGTTTCATTTGATCCTGCCCACCCTCTTCCTCTACATCGCTACCTCACCTCATCTTCATCCCCAAGGTTAGGAGGCAGAACGAAGCACCGCAAAAGGTGGAAAACGCCCAGTTCACTCACTCACTGTCAGGAAGTGGCCATTGCTCTCCTGCTTCCGTTAAAAGTGGAAAGCAAAATGCCTATAGAAATGCAATTTCGCTCCTTTCTACAAGTTGTCGAAATTGTGTCATTTTCGTTTAATGAAGCGTTAGTTGTCTTTTGTCTTAAGACTCACTGCAAGGCGGTAAGGAAGTGGAGTTAAACTTTGAGACTTAAAAAGGAAAAGAACGATTAACAATCACTACATTATTTAATTCTATGGGAGACAGGCGTAAAACGATAACAGGTAAGTCAATGACAGTGTCAGTAGTCTCTAAAATCAACTTTCCTCCCCTTCTTGTACATTTAATTTCTCTGCTAGTATCAGCACTTATGATCTTTTTGGGACAAAAAAGGTGAAATGACTAAAACAAGCTAATCTGCCGACTACGATGAGCTTAAGACTCAAGTATACAATTCCTCCTCCTCCTCCTCCTCCTCCTCCCTCTCCTCCTCCTCACTTTAAACCGCAATTATTCGGCAACTTTCCGTTCCGAGTCGTCATTTGTAGGGTCTTTACATGGCTACTATCATCTTCCCACCTCATTTCCCGTGTCTACAGTACCAGGATGAGGGTAAAACTCGTTCAAGAAAGGGAATACATTGTTTTATAAGATCTAGGAGGGATTTTTTTGTCCGCTTTCCTCACAGTTTTTATGATCACCTTCAGTGTGACCAACGGAGTCAAGTCGGCATTCTTGGTTCGCCTTATTCGTTTTACTAGGTCCATTGAAAGCTGTGGATTGTGATTGCCTTCAATTGAGACAGAATTTAGCCCCGAAACAAATAAAAAGGTGTAACTACACTTCTATCCGCATTCTACTGCTCATATTCTACCCTGTGTGCCGTCTTCCATTTTAGAGGTGTTGCCTTGATGTGAAGATGAAAGAGAAGACGCTTTTTCCCGTACAAAGTTGCCTCACTCCATTTAATGACATTCAACATTGCCCCGAGGTTTGGGACATTTAAGTATCGTGCATTGTGTTCCTGATCACAGGACTCGATGCAAATTCCTGCAAACGCTCCGCCTTGAAACAGTATCGGTGACGCGCTCACTTGAGGACCAGTTGGAAGGAGGCAAGAGATCGCATTCCAGGGACTAAGTAATGACAAATTTTTGATTACAAAGCCAATCAGTCGGTTGGTAAACAATGTGGAACACATGGCTTTTAGAAATTAGGAGGATGAAATAGAGAAATACATTCTTGCCTATTTACTGACACATTTTTGAGGGCTTTGCATGGAGGCGGATTTGAGGGCCCCATTTTCATGTGTTTTGGCCGCTCTTTTCAGTTATAAACTTGAAGAGACGTCCTCTTCGCCTTCATAGTTGCCTTTTCCTACTTTTAATCCTTTGTCTGCGCTACATCACCCACGTCACGAGTGGTTTAGGTGAGCCTTTCACCCCTCCGCCACGTTAAATCCTCGCTTCAAGCAATCGAAGTTAAAATTAGAGAGACAGCAGAAGCAAACAGTGGGTATCACTCAACTTATAAACTCGCAGACTTCTTCCAGCTCCAAGAAAAAACAAAACATCCGAAGCACTAGTCGGTGTGTAAAGAGCACCTGTGAATGAAAACGTCAATTTCTCTCTTCTTAATTTTGGTGGTCTACAAAGAGCTGCGATTGTAAAAAGCTGCAAAATTCTTCGGTTTCTTTGTGTAGTTCCAAACAAGTAATTCCTAATAATGTTAAAAGTGAGGTGGTGCCATAGAAACACGTCAAGATTTCTGGAGCCCCATATGCCACACTCCCACGTGGGCACAAAGCACGAAAAGGTCTCCAAATCCTTCGAACAGCTCATAAAGTGTGGCAGGTCAAAATCGGATGGGAAGGAAGAGAAGAATTGTCATTGTCATGTCCTCTTTCAGGGGCTCATAAATCGACTTTTATGTCGTAAGGCAGAACAGTAACTCACGTGGGTGGAGAGTGTGTAAAATAAAATTACATGAGGTGGAAAATCGGAGTTTCGCCCTTCCTCCTCCTCCTCCTCCTCCTCCTTGACCTTCTTTACAAAGTGAAGTCGCAACTCAAAGTACGAGAAAACAGTTTGTTACGAAATCCTCCACAATGGAAGTAACCAAAAAAAGCATGAAAAAAAAGAAGACTAAAAAAAATTTTTTTTACTGGATGGAAGCTGATAATGGTCAAAATATTTCCTTCAGTCAACAGGCGTTTAAACGTTGGCCCAATGGCGACAAATCCAGGCGCACAAGAGACCACTTCCACTACTCAAATGACACTTTTTACACACTTTCCCACTTTCACTTGAGTTGTGTGGAAAGTGGGTGAAATCGAAGGTGACTTTTGCACTTCTTTGATCGCTAAGCTTCGAATGAAGAAACCTTCTTAAGTAGTGCGATTAACCAGTGAAGAAAGTGGCTTGGCTTGATCAGGAGAAGAAAAAATTATACACCAATGAAATTGTTGCAACCTTTTTTTTTTCCTTCTACTGTCGTCTCTTGAGGCCGCCTTCATCAGGATTTGCACATTTCCTCCGGATGTCTCCCAACTTCGTGACTTAAAGACCCGGAAACTAAACTTAACATTTTTTTTTAAAAAAAGGGAGGAAACTCATCTTTTACTACATCTTATGATTCTTCCTACCGCCAATGTAAGCTTCAGCTCAAATTTGTCAATTTCGTTAAAACAAATTTGGCATTTTGCAGCCTTATTCTCACTTTGTTGACACTCTGTGCAGTGAACTGCAGAAGCGCTGGCACCCATCGAAAGGGACAGTGAAGACGTAAAAACGGAAGGTTTGACGTCGTTGAGGTGAAGGCGGTCAGTGAAATAACGTGTTAACAACTCCGACACAATCATAGCAAAAATTATATTAAATTTCATGAGATTGCATTCCAACTCTTTAAGGCAGAAAATCAAAGTTTTAGTCCACTGAGTTCTTCCATTCAGCAGAAGTGGACGCCCGATTGGAGATGTTCAATGAAACAATGCAATTTGCTCCTCATTTGTGTACTTTTTTGTCTACACTGGAAGCGGACTTCTCATTGCTTCATAAACAATGATTAATAAAAGGGAACATAACTTGCTGTAGCCTGCAGCTGACTAGGCATAAAACGGTTTCCAGGACTCAAGAAATTAAACCAGTCTATTGTAAATCAGAACAAACAAAGGAATCGTAGGCACGGCAATCCTTAAGCACTCATCTGAATGAAAACTTTTCTTCGGCTCCACAAATTCAGGTGTTGTTAGATCTTCCCGACGTAATGTTAAATAGACACGCCATCCTCTGTTAACTCTCATTACTCTTGCATGAAAATCTTAACACAGGTGATTAATGAAAAAGCTGAGAGTTGCCTAATTTATTATATCCATTGGTAGAAAGGAAAAGAAGTCAATGGGAAAAGACATTTTTTAATTTGGCTTCGCCTTAAAAAGTGTCAACGATGTGTGGCTCCCGAAACTTTCACAACAATCAGTTGCATTCACTGCATTTATAGGTGCGAATGTCACTTTCAAATGATAAAATCGTAAATGTTAAGGAAATTGCAGCACCTCAAGGAAGGCATCTCGTCAATGCTGACCTCGCGCACCCACACACGCACGCACACAAGCCAGCACCCAAAAGAGTGACAGACAGCAAACGGTTGCAGGGTTTACGTCCAACCACCAATTAACCACTCGAAACCACCATCTCTCACTTCCCCACATCCACACACCATCTGTGGCAGCAGAAGGCCACCAAAATCCTCCACACTCATTTGCACCGCAGGTGACATTCGAGGCAGGAGGTGAGCAACAAGGATACTGATCGCAAGACAAGGAAACCCCTCCACTACCATTAGAGGTGAGACGGTCTACTGCCCTCCTCTGCCACTGACTTGTCTATTAGTCAAGGCAGCAACTCTCACCCACAGACGACGTAATGCCACATTGAGGCAATTTGACTGTTTGAATGAAACGTGCAATGGTATACAAAAGAGTCACTTTTTCCCCACCTGGCGCATTTGAGAGGATGGAAACAAAAGGCGAAGACAAAGAGTGAATAGAATTGTTGGCAAAGTTTGCCTTTGTCATAGTTGCTTGGAAATACACACGAAGATGCCTTGATGACCATATAAGCAACATTAAAAAAAAATTTAGATTTGCTGGATGTAAAAAAAATATTTTAAATTGTGCAAGACTGATAGCGAGAGAAAGAGTGTGTCATTGTGGCCTAAAATCAGCCAGAATTATAACCTCTCGACTGATTTACTTTCGTGTGTGTGTGTGCGATCGGACCAATTCGACGACCTACAGGAGTGACAAGACGTAGGCGATCAAATGACCAATTGAGCAGTTGAGAAAGGCGCCACTCAAAAAGTGCACAGCAAAGAAGAAACTCAAATAAATAAGGAGGCATAACACAAACATACTTTTTTCCGTGTAGAAGAAAGACCACAAGTCAGCAAGTGATTGACAAAAAAAGCTATTGAAGAAGTAAGTTTTGGTGAATTCAACTGAAACCAACATTATCATCATGGCTACACGTCAAAGGCTTGTCATTGAGGGACAACAAGTGCTGCAATAATGTGACCATTTGAGTGTCTTATCAAAAAGAAACATTGACTGCAGTCTTTGATCAAAACTTGGACTTTTGGTATAATTTTAGCAGCCTCCTAATTGTTAATTTTTGCTCCTCCGCTTGACGGGTCGCTTAGACGTGTTTTACCCGCGAGAGGATTTATTTGTCAATTGGCAAAGTGCAAGGAATTCGAAAAACAGGGCAGAGGGAAATGACAGTCACGAATCCAAAGCCCAAATGTAGTCCACAACAGTGAAAATTACACATTTTTCACCTACAAATTGAATTTAAACAATTAAAATGCTTCAAAATATGACTTGTGAAGGAGGGCGCACATTGCTGTAAAAGCGTAGGAGGGCGAAGTTATTATTCAATTAAAACCAAAATGAAGACATGGAAATAAGGAGCCATTAAGGAGGATAAATTTGGTGACTTCGTTCAATACGATGCTGAGCAGAGTGCTGTCTCTCCGTCTCCTCAACACAGGACGCTCAATGGCACTACGCTGACAAATTTGACAGATTGAATCGCGAATGAAATTGCACAGTTGTGGGACACAAGTGTGTACATGAGAGAGGTGACTTCACCAACACTCAAGAGGGTGTATTGACGCAACAATCTAAGGTACCTACGCTTGTAAACATTGACATCACATAAGTGGGCATCAAACAGTCAACAACAGTGTGTGTATGTACAGGACAGCAAACAACAGCAACAACAACAGCACCATCAGCAGCAGCAACGACAACAAGAAGAGAAATAAGAAGAGGAAGAAAAAGAAAAAGAAGAGGAGAGGAGAGGAGGACGAAAAAAAGGTGGAAAGAAAGAGGAATAGTGGTTTGCTTGTGCGTGCAGTCGTTGGTGAGAAAAGTAGTGCAGCAGAAGTGCGCCACTTGTCTGTGTGTGCAGTAGACGAAGTGGTGACGTGGACTACTAGGAGGGCAAAAATGCAAGGCCGACAGTGGTGACGGCGGTTGCGGAATGGGAAGAGCCAGTGGAGGAGGCAGAGATGCAAGGAAGAAAAGTACGGTATCAAACGAATCTGAGGCAATGCGCCGACTGTCCACCAAGGTCGACGGCTACTAGGAAGGGCGAGGTATCGGGTAGGGCCGTCAGTCCAGCCAGTCGCCTCAGAGCTGGCTCCACTTCCAATGTGTAGGGCTGCCTTCTCGCCTGGCGCATCATACTCACGCCCAACTCCCCCGCCACCACTCCCAGATTCGGTTCTCCCTCACCTGTTGCAATCACTGATTCTCCGGTGGTGGTGAGGCGGGAAGAGGAGTCGGCAATAGCTCCACGCCATGCCGCCTCAGGGTAGACGATAATCACCGAACGTGATCGATCAGTGTGACTGGCAAGTAGGCACTCGCCCAAATCGGTGGTAGTGCAAGTTGCAGAGACACCACCGAAGTGGCCTCGAAGGGATGAAGTGGAGGTAGGGGGAGGACACGTGACACTACCACCACTACCACCACCTCCACCACCGCTAGTGACGTAAGTGGTAGGCCGCATCGAACCACCGATGGAGGGTGGGCGGAGTAGCGATCGATGAGCGCTGGTCGCATCCAGAGTCAGAGTGCTTCCTGGGGCAGAAGAGAGACCGCCAACACCACCATCTCTGCTGCTGCGGGATACAATCCGCTGCGAGGACAACAGGGAGTTTTGAGTGAGTGTAGAGGGAAGACAAACATCTGAATCGATTTCATTGTCAGGTCCAGTGGTAGGAGATAATGGCATTTGAGACTGAAAACTCATTCCTCCTCCGCTGCCTCCACCACTCACCGGTGCGTAGAGACTCCCAATGTGTTTACCGTCTGAGGAGTAAATCTATCAGAAACAAAAATTAAATCAAATATGGAAAAAACGCGAGAGAAAATGCGAGAATATGCATATTTGTGAGAAGGACGCTGAACTGACCCTCAATTCGCAGCCAGCAGCAAGAACGATCTCGCCGGAAGTCATTACGCAGATGCCGGTGACGCGACGCAAAGCATCGTTGATGAAACGCTCTGGAGAGGCAAATTTTCGCACACCTCGAGAGCTGCTCTGCGCACTCACTGCTCCAGTGCCACTGTTGTTACTGCTGCCGCTACTGTTGCTATTTCTGCCTCCGATTAGTGGATGAACTTCACCATCGTGGTAGGCGAAGACACAGCCTGCACCATTATCTGCGATGAGAACACGCCCAGTGCGGGGGCAAATGCAAACGCTCGTGGGTTCCACAAACTTCGAGCTGCTGATACGATCCAAGATCTACAAATTTCAATGCAAAAGAGACTCACAACGCAGTACCTTCAAAAGGAACAGGCAAAAGGTCCACACCAGATCCCATATCCAAATATCGCTGTTACTCTGTTACATCAATCTGTTTCATTGGTCCTTTAGATTACTTTTGAGTGTAGATGCAGCCGTCTAAACCGATTCATATCAATCAAACGGGTGCAACCCTCTTACAACCCTCGTTGTCCCTTTAGACTTAAGGAGAGACGTTCCTCACAGCGTCTCCCCTGGGCCTCAACTTGAAAGAGAAACAATGAGATCTGCTAACGCCTCGAGTCTAAAGGGAAAAGCACAAAATTTGCAAAAACTCTCCTCTTCGTCGTTTGTAGATTGTTAAGCAGATTATTTAGCTTTCAAAAATGCCAATGCTTATGAAGATGAAATTAGGCAATGTCAACATCACTTTCGAACAAATTAAGCTCTTCTGCCTTAGCCATACCCCATAACTTGATGCTTGACATTCCGGCTGACCAAAAAAGTCCTCTTAATTGTTCAATGAGAAAAGACCTCAAAACAGCTCTCAGAGTAACAAAAAACACCTACGTAAAGCAACACTTGAGCTTATATATGAGGGAAATTGTGGAAAAGGATTGTGTCGCCTAAGACACTACACATAGAAACCCCTCCCTTCCAACTGACAATGCCACCTCATTCCTCCTCCTCCTCCTCCTCCTCCTACTCCTCTCCCTCATCCTCCTCCTCCTCCTCCTCCTCCACTTCCCCTCCATACCTCATTGGACTGCAAATCCAACAGCATCAACTCATTTGCCCGCCAGTTCACAACCCACAGTCCCCGTGCTCCTACAGCCATGCCAGTGGCAGCCTGACCACGAAGAGCCTCGTTGCCTGCCAACACTGACTTCACACGTCCCGTAGCTGCATCAGCAACCAAGAGACGACTGTTTCCTGTGTCCAGAAGGAGGACGTTGACACTGTCTTCCGGTGATGTTGGAGCTGTGGTGGTGGTGGTAGTAGTAGTAGCAGTGTTTGTGGAATGGGTGGTAGTGTTGGATGGTGCTTGAAGTCGGCTGGATGGCACCACAGTAACAGCGAACGGTTGCACGAGCCCTCGACCATCAGGACCTGCAAGTGATTGAAGATACGAAACTCTTTAAATAAGCTCTTCAGAATGCTTTTAATGGAATGATTTAAGTGTTGAGACCGTTGAGGAGAAGGATTGAAGTACTCTTAGCGTCATCCATAAAGTTCTGCGTGGTTTATCCACCCTACTGATAGGCACATTAATTCATCGTAGACGTCGAAACAGCTGCTCCACTTTCCGAGACATTAACGTCAACCTCTGAGATTACACCATTTATGATAAGCAATTAAAAAGCAATCAATTTGATATCTACACCCCTAATGCCAGTAATGCCTAGCTGTCACTGCTAAAACCAGTTTCAACCAGTTTTTCTCCTCCCCATTGTGAACAATATGCTTTCCATGCAGATAAAAAAGGTGGAGACCATTCAGAGCAGAAAACTAAAACAATTACTTTCTAGCCTTACAAATGTGCCCACTGAAGTTCATCGACCGAGGTGTTGTCTGATGAGACGCTACAGATGCTCCAAGAAACAGAAACTGCTCCACAAGGCACATGGATAGAAGAATTACTGCCCCGTTTTCATCAATGCAAAGCTCATTAAAATTTGGGTTGCGTTTAACAATCACTACTTTAATAAGACGGCTTTATTTATTAGTCTATGACGATGAGGATCCGAAAAGGCCTTGCTCAAGGGAGGAAGAGGAGGAGAAACATTTACAAACATTATTTTGTTCTCTACTATCAATGCTGCATAAATGATTGCTTAGCACTACATGGGACATATTTGTAGGGAGCTGGAATTACACATTCTTCCGCTTACTGCCTCATCCTAATCAGCCACACCCATAAAACCGTCGGCTCCTCGATTGCAATAAAATTTTGTTTGCAGATGAGCACCACATACAGAAGTAAAAGCAGTGAACAGACTAGGGTGAAATAAGGAGAAATGAGCTGCATTTGGTCAAATAAGAATCCCGAATCGCTTATAGATTCTCCTCCTTTTCTTTCTGTTAGTAAAACTACTGCATCACTATTTTTCACTACGCAATGTTTGAGGTCCAAAAATCAAGAATCAGGAGATGGGGGAGGAGGAGGGGAGATTTCAATTTCCCTGTAATCACCTCAACTGTTACGCCTTCAACTATGTGATCAATGACGTAAATAGCTTGCAGAGAGAGCGCTTTAAAGGAAGGGGATAATTTGTGTCAAAGCATTGCGACAAAATGATGCTTTCTCATCTCCTCTTCCTCTTAACTCGCACACTCCCTTCCCCATTGGTATCGTGACTGTCATGCCATGTTCCAGGTGTCGAACGATAAGGGCGGTTAGATTGCATGATAGCACTAATTAAGATACAAAAGTTTATCCAAATAAAATGTGTAAACTATAAACAGTGCAAAGAGGCATGGCTAACTTGGCACAACAATCAACTTGTGCGATCAATCAAGAAAAAAATTGAAAATCCACGTAGACGGCAATTACAACTACGACTTTCAACTAGTTCAAGACCCCTACAACACTGAAATGAGGGCTGAAAGGAAGAACAAAGGGAAAGTCAAAAATATGCATAGATGAATCCTTCAAAAGGATCAAGCATTGGGTGTCGCAGTGTCAAATGAGGGGAGGAAGTGGTGTGATGTATTCAATAGAATGTCAGTGGAATCAGAGTAGAGCAAAGTGAGAAGGTTTACGAATAACGTGGAGACATTGGTGAACAGGTTTGAAAGGGGTTAATCATGCTAAGAGCCTTGACACCCACATGCACACACACACACAAAGGAAACATATTTCTGGGGAGGTGAAACAAATGAGAAAAGGAGAGGACGAAACAAAGCAACAATAATGACGCGAGTAACAAATAATAGTAAGAACCCACCGTCTACAATGCTCCAACGCGGTGTCTGACGTCCACGCACATGGAGGTTGAATGGTGAACCACGAATGGGACGGGACAGAATCTGCACCACAAGAGTGTGCGCTCCAGGACTCAGGGCACACAGACTGACCTCGTAGGTACCGTCACCGTGGTCCACCAAACACGCAGGCGCCTCACGACCCTGAGCGTCTTCAAAACGCACACTGATCGGATCCGTACCTGCAGTCTGTGGCTCGCCGTGATAGTCGTAGGCCCGCACCATCACCTGCATCGAAGAACAATACGGAACAATGCGAGTCAATCTTATTCAAGTCTCATGCAAACTGCTATGTGTAGACGAAGAGGCACATATCCCCTTTAGCGTAATGCAGTCATTGTGTAGCAGTGCACCAACACTTTCATTTCATTAAACATCCTAACATTCAACAGTGACAATCGCATTGACCTAGGCTTGCATCGCAAACAAGCACTAACCACATCTGCTATACTCGATAGGCTTTACCATGCCAACAAAATTTCAGCGTCAGAAAGCTAGCATACAGTGCCACATCTCATCGTGCCGAGGCACTGACGCATACTTGTTTACATGACTCTTCCCAAAAAGTCGCATGAAGTCATTTTATACTGATCCACATCAAAAGAATCACAAAAACATCAAAGGAAACGCAAAATAAAGGTCGCATTCCAAAGAGCCTCGCAATCATCCATAGGATCACTTATGGAGCTAAAACAAAAATATTGCTAATCTCTCTCTCTTTTTCCACATTCTTCTCCACGCACTCCCGATCTCATTTCTAAATTCTTCTCAAGATAATTTGGAGTACCTTGGCGAGTAGATGAAGGTGAAGTTCCTCCGGCAGCTTGGCTGTGCACAGTGGTGGGTAGGTAGTACTCACAGCAATGCGACCGAAGGCCGCCAAACACCGTGCAATGTCCACAAAACCTGCTGATCCCGGCTGTGGTGTTGTCCGTGGTGCTGTTGTTGGCATCAAGCCTTCGGTGCCGACCAAATGCTGCGAAGGCGCTGGAAGCGTTAGTGGTGGTGGGGGTGAAGGAGGATTGTCGTGATAACGCAAGAAGGCATTCTCTCGTGGCTCTGTCAGACTCGCTATCGTATCCAACTTGTCGTTCAGATAACTTATCCCCTTTGAGATGGAACGCACGTCAATCTGTGTGGAGAGAACAAATGGGAGTGCAATCCAGTCAACGATAGAAATGCTGAGCCTAATACATGCTATATGTATCGCCACTCCCGACTAATATTACCTCCATGGCCGTCTAGACCTTCGAATGGAACGCGAGACTCTTTGAAAGACTACTGAACGGCAAGACATTGAAAAAGAGTTAAAGCAGCTACAACCCTCAAAATAGCAAATCTTTGTGGATAATTAACCGAAAATAGAAGAGGCTTCTTTCCTCTTATTTTCCTCCCCTCTTCGGACCATAAAATAATGCTAATAGTGTGGAAAAGGAATGATGAGATGCCACGATACGAGTCATGTAGAACAAAGTTTAATGAGTACCCCAATTTTGACGGCTCAATCAATACAGTAAGGTTACAATTTGTCACAAATGGTCCTAAATTGTTAAAAACGCGCCATGCGAAAGTAGTCAGATCACTGACTCCGACGATGATATACCTCGCCTATCACTTCTATGCAAGTCAAATAAAGCAAGCAGAGCTAGTAGACGGTTGGTTACCATGAGGGAGTGCGTGTTTACATGCAAATCAGTCTCCCTACCTCCGCATAAATTAAAGTCGATGATCCTGTCTGGTGCTATGCTTAGACCTAGCTGTTTCATTATTCTCTGTCTCGCGCTCTTGCCACTTTTTAGTACATTCTAAACGCCCTTGATTTTGAATATACAATGCAGTTTACTAGAATGGTCTTCAAGATCAGCAGGTTTCAGGGTTCCAGTTACCGCAATGACTGTGATCGTCACAGTCCAGATGGAGCAAGCTATTAGCTGAATACTTCAACTCAGAAGTTGACAAGGTTGGCGAAAAATTGGGAAATGCAGCGATCTTCACCTACTTGAGTTTCACAAATCCACCAATTAGCTTGCAATGCGCACTCAAATGCATCAAGTCAGTAGAGATGGATGAAAAACGCATGTTACCTGAATGTAACACAAGTAAAAACACAGCTAATAAGGCGAATCAGTGTTTCAGGTTGCTGCAGTCGCCAAGGCATCATCACAAAATACGACCTAAGTGTGACCCTGAAGCGGAAAGAGCGAAGTATGTGTTGCAGTTACAATTGCAGTGAGTTAGTACGAACCCGTCAGGCGAGCAGGAGAAACTAGGGAGTTACAAGAGGTCCAAATTGCTTTCCTTCGCCTTGAATTAATGTCAAGTGATCAGTATTGCTGAATAACAATCGAAAACTTCAGCGTATAACCTGTGAGGCACAAAAATTCACAATACCACATCCCCTCTTAATACTCATCCAATCTTAGCTTAGATAAGCAGCTGGAATGCAGACAAACTCAAAAAATCCAATTATTATCCGTCTTATTTTTCCGCCTTCACATTACCTTTAGAAACACACAAAGATGTAATTATTTGCAACAAATTGGTTAAGAACGTGTGTCACATATTTGCAGTGCCTGTAAATGGAGAGTTCGTGATGGCCTTGAATGCTTATTTGTAAAGTACAATTCGACAAATTCTTTGCACCATCTTCTTCGGGACAGACACTGCTGATAACTCTCCAATGAGGTCGCGAAGGATATCGTAGCTCCCACATTCATTCGCATCCCCTATCAGCAGCTCCACAAAGTCCAACGATGTAGTCATACAACATGCTCCAGCACCATATTGCCATGCAACCATTCGTACACCCATCCACCATGCCAGCATGTACCATTTTTATGACACATCAATTCTTAGTAGTTCTGCATGTATGCAGCACCTTTCACCTACATCGTGACCCGCCCTTTCCAGATGATGGGTAGATATTAATCATTGCCTTCATCACTCATCTTCATCCGCCATCCCGTCTCAGCCATGTACTACCCTCTTTCAGTGATTCATCAACAGAATGAAATCTTCCAAACTACGGCTGGAGATTGTGGTATCACCTTCCTCACCATTTCTTGACAGCGTGGTAGACTTAAGGCTTGAGGTCTTTATAAGCACCTGATTGCGGATTTAAAGAGACAAGTATCCTTAATTGCCTCGTAGGTCAAAGTGACTTCCATGACAATCCAGTTATTCATTCATTTTACCATTCCTGAAGGAATGGAGTCTGAGATAATCAACACGAAAGTCTCCGCAACATAAGTTGACTAACTAGAAGAGAGAATGAAAGGTGCCGCAGTTATGTACAACCACGAATAAATGTCAACATTGACAGTCAATCCATCAACAGAGCCACTAATTGACCCCTTTAATAAAAACACTCATTGAAGTATTCGCTCTTATTTAATCGTCCTTCTCCATCACTTCCACGTTTCGCCTTTCTCATATGGCCCTCGCACAGTGACGCAAAACAGAGATTTCTCCACCAATAACTGCCAACCTAGTAAACAAACCAAATTGAGACCCAGCAAGTGACACCAACAACCGCTGATCAAAGTGGAGGCGCGGCATGATTACAAGGCGGAAAAGCCAGAAAGCCGAAGAAGAAAGGGAATACGAAAGTATGCACACAAAACAAACAAGAACGAAGTTGAGGGGAGAATCATTTCCGTTCACCATTTAGTCGGCAAATGCGGCTGTAACAGTCACGCATTCCTTCACATCCTTTGAGGCGAATGCATAAGCAAATAAGACTTAGAGGTGGAAGCAAGAGAGAAAAAAATTAATAATCTAGAGATTATCACTCTGTACCAATCAAGGCCATGGTATTATTTGTTGGAGTAGATGATGAATACCTGCCCTCCATGGAAGGTTGCGATTGAGAGGAGGAGAAATCCTCCTCCCTCCGATAAGCGAATGTTAAATCTACCCTCTCATGAGCCTGCTTCTACTGCTTTGCAAGAAAAAAGGAGCTGAGTAGCATTAGTTTTGCCCCATAGTAAACAAGAGGCTTCACGTCTTATTAATGACACGCCTTTGTCGTGGAGGGGCAATCTCATTTGGCGAAAAAAATCTGAACGTCATTAATATTGCTGTTCACACACCTTTGAAGCTCACCTTCGATTAAATGAAGTTCATCTGATGGGAAAAGAAAATGTCTGTAATGTGTTGCAAAAGGAACACGAAAAACACAACGAACAGTGGGTGTTCTTGAACACATTTGGTGAACTTATCTTGCTGAAAGTGGTCAAAAGCATTATAAAACTTTCTCTCCATTAGGTATGAATGTACGTTTGATGGCTGATCGACATGAGTGCAAGAAATGAGACCAGTACCAATGGAAACGGGTCAAGTTAGAAGCAATCGGTATTTCCACCTGAAAATACCACCCCATGAGTGGCTTCATTTGGCTAATTCGTTTTTGACCACGTAATGTGCCATCTCACAGCCTCAATGCGTGTGATTGAGAGACAGTCAGTCTTTCTACGAGGGAGAGGTAACAGACTGCATGACGCACCGCCCGAAAACCAAGACACCTCGCCACAATACGCCGATCGCATGGGTAGTAACAATAAACCATGTCTGAATGACTCAGCCCAATATCTGATAAACTGCTTGTCATGAAGACATCAATTTATTGGTGGTGAAAGCGGATAGCGTAAATATTTCGGAGGAGAAGTTGGTGTCAAGAGTAAATGCATTTCACAGGTACACAATGTTTCTGTAGCCTTTTGTAATTGTATTCATTAGCTGCTTCAGTCCAGTCCATCTCAAGATGAGAATGTTTAATTTGCATGCTCCAGTCGGACAACGTAGGTAGACCTAAGATGCAACTGCTGCTTCACCAACAGTAAGCAGCATGGTGTGATGAAAAACCCACGATGGTGGTTTAAAACAAGTGAACTCACACTATCGATGATTAATGACAACGAAAAAGGCAAGTGTGCCAAAGCTATAGGGGTAGTTTTAACACCCTCGGCAGTATCGACAGGACTAAAATTTTCGAAGGCAATCGAAACCAAAACAGCTTGGTAGATTCTACGCAACTTGAGGAAACAAAGAAACAGAATGACGAGAGAGATAAAGGAGTTTGACGTACCAGACTATTAAGACGATCGCATTGCTCGCGTACCAGATTGCGTTCGGACTCGATGAGAGCCAGTTGATCCTCCAGTGCGCGCCGCTTCTCCTCACTAATATTTCTAATGGTCTGCGTCACCTCCGCCTGCCTTCGCTCAACCAGTGCTCGGATCTCCGCGAAACTCGACTCTGCTGCCTATGTATAGGCATTGGTGTGTAAAAAGATTTTCAGTTAGGCTTAGTCTGAAGTGATGTGGCGACAAAAGAGCAATCAACAAATCAACTATCAGAGTAGTAGGCCAAATCCTTTATGATTTCTATCAAAATAACCGTAACTACTGATAACTTCCCTGTGACTCACGAACATCAGGTGGGAGATGTTATTTTGGCTTATCTAAAATAGACACCTTGTCTTCTGTGCTACGAATCGCTTGATATGAAAGTGAATGTTCTTCGTTCAAAGACGGCACTACAGATACTGACTGGTAGACGCGTCAGAAGTAAAACGTATAAACATGGGAAGAAACTACGTGTTTAATGGCGTTAAGAGTCAATAATGATAATGATACGGACACATCTTCAAGAGGATAAGTTGACCATTCCGAGAGAACAAATCCATTAGTAATTCCTGTGATAGTAAAAGGTAAGCTGAGGGAAGTGAATGTGATGACAAAAGTGAGACCGTTGTGGAAGTAGACAAATGCTCGCAGATATTAATAGATGCAAAACAAAGGTTGAGAAGATAAAAGGATAATAAAATCACCAATCAATATGGAGCGGCGTTTTGATTGGTCGTCTTTCTCAAGCCAATAGAACCGATGAATTAACAAATTAGTCAATCCAGTCGTTTAGGGAAACGCAAATACGATCAGTTTAAGTTACTAATACCACTAACCATGTAATCTTGGAAATAGGTGAGACTTAATGAGATCATAAAAAGAATGACCAGCAGTAAAAATAGTGAAATTTTGCATGATAAATGACCGCATCGGGCAAGAGGCTTCCCCCAAATACTCTATGCGACCATTTGCTTTAAATTACCAAAATAACATCAGATTATAGCACGCATTAAACTGTACATGTGAGATTATAAATGTATCAATGACCTTGAATTTCGCGATTTCTCCCATGTGAAATGCGAAATGAAATGTAAAGGTCAAAAATGAAACAGCCGGATTTAATTTTAAGAAAAGCTCTCAAATACATCAGCCTAGGAATTGGAAACAAAAAGAAGAAGAGGACAAGCGCAAGATTTCATTACAATTAGCACATTGACCAAAAGGATGTACTTTCATGGTCAGATAATAGACAATAGAGAGGAAGTAAGAGACAGATTAATCAAGTGTTTAGCTAACAATGGAGCAAGGAATAGAAGATGAAAAAAAATGAAAATTCTTAATTAACTAGTGCTCCCAGCCAAAGATCTTCTGTGGAGATTCGTCCACCGCAACTCTCTCACGGATGACGTTTTCTCAAGTCAACACTGCTTTATAAGGATTTGTTCTTAATCAACTCCATTGCTATTGCGCACGAGAATAAGTGTGGTAAATTCATTTATAACCAAAAAATAATGTAATTAGAGTAAATGTAGTGACCCAACGATGTTATGCCAGTACAGATTTCGAGAAATAGGTAAATAATCGGACCGATACGACCAAAGAGTAATTACTTCCCCCTTTTAAATTATGTAAAGCTGCCTGAAATGGGAGTAGTTAGTGAGATGACCACATTGGCACGACTTTTATGGTGTCGTGCATTAACAGCAAAATGCAGCTGAATAAATGCTATTTTAGCCTTCAGCATAGTCATGCATAAAAAGGAAAAAAACTGAAAATTTTGGCTAACTAATTCCGAAAGCAATTTATTTATTTATTTTTGCACCAACTTTACAACTTTTTTCACTTGACACCTCTAACAAGGGTAAAGTTTAGTTGGGTTGAAAAACCAGTCTTTAACAAAGTTCACCCCTACTCAGACACCCTAAGTTATTAGTGGACTGATCAGACAATTTTACGGGACGCCTTGATGAATGCCGGCCAAATCATCACGTCTCCACGGTTTAGTGCTTACTAAGTCAACAAATCATTTCCAGAAGCAAAGCAAAAGAACTATGTCTGGATAGAGGAAACGTCTGACCAGCAGTAATTTGGTAAAACTTACGTTCTTGGAGCTGAATACCTGTGAAATCATCTTAAGCTCTGTGCACTTATCAAAGGGATCACACACACACACACACATCTGATGGAAGACCCACAAAATGTGTAAAAATTATCTACCTTCTAAGCGCCCGGAAAAGAAGGGAAAGGAGAGTTTTAAGAAGATAATGAAGCTTTCAGCTTTTACAATCTCGTCACAGACGAAACAAGTGAATGGAAAATAATATGATACCACTGTTAGCAGGAACAGGGATGATTTCTTGTGCAATAGCACCTCACCACTGATTTCCACCAAATTCGTAGTAAACAAAAGGCTTGCCAGTTTGTCAGAGTTATCAATGCCGGCAGGTGCAAATGCAGAGTTTCACACTAGAAGTGAAACAGCTTGCAGCAATATTTGGTGCCTTGAAATGGTCCAGTATGATGGACGACTTCAAGTTCAGTCACTGGATGACCCGGCCCATCCACATCCGTAGCACTTCGAGGGGCTTATGACGTTTGTCAGACCTATAATGCAGTCTTTATTGTAGTAAATAACGACAGAGAGTGGTGGACTATTTGCTTACTAGATAATGAGCCTTTAGACACTATCCACTTCTGCTGGTGATGTTTTAGCAGATACCTTAAACTCGACTAGACGCCGATCACATTAATCAGCAAACAGAAGGTTATAAGGACCTGCAGATCAAGAAGTCCATGTAAGAACCGCCAGCAACTCGACAAATGCACAGTTGTAAGACTATCGCCTTACTTCAGGACCTTTCGAGGTTTACCACCAGCTCACATTCACGGTCATAGGCCTTGAAATCATCAACAAATTCAAAATCCTTTGCTCATTATTTGCAATTCGATTGACCCTGATAATCCGAAAAAAAACTACAACAAAAAATCCAGAACAATCACCTTATCTGCTCCTTTCTTTCTATTTTGACTTTGCATCTTTGAGGATAAGTGAAAATTACTCGACTAGGCAAGTGACGGCAATTGGCCATTGACAAGCTGCTATCTTCATTGATAAAACCATGGCAACAGGCAGGTCAGTTGGTGGATAGGGTCAAGCCTTTATGTGTCACACTAACGCCATTTATGTCGTCATGCCTTCACATTTGACGGGCGTGCAAAATCGCAGCATTTGATGAGCACCTGCCACCTACCCTTAAACAGGAAAATTTGACAAGTTAATTTCTTCACTAGTATAACAAAGGAAGAGTTCCCTCCCCCTCACTTCATTCTTTACAAAATTTGCGAATGGAGAGCATAAAACACTTCACAACTTATGTATCGGTAGCTGATTATTTTATTTTTGACAGAGAAATACCGGGATGCCGTTTGCAACTATTGTCGCACATTGTCAGTCGTGTCTTTTGTTTGCCATCCTAGCGATAATTCAAAACATCTGTTCTGCCAACATCAAGGGACAAGTAGAGAGGCGATTGATCCTTTTCAGCGCCAAAATACTTGTGGATAGCTTCTATCAATTACCATGCTAAGCTGTAACTGTCATCCAAGGCACCACAGCTTGGGAAGGAGTAAGTAGAGGGGCGACTGTGTACAAAATGACAGTCTGTAAGTATCTTAGCAACATGAAAATTCTTGCTTCTTCGCTTTCTTTTCCCCCGCATCTAAGCATTCGGACGAGATGCCTCCAACAAATTGACAAGACTTATGAGTAAAAGGAAATGAAAGGAAGGAAAATCAACATCGCGAACAACTGAAGAGATGCAAATGAAAACGCTGACTATTCGGTAACAGTGTTGGCAACTCTAAGATTTACACCGACAACCATTTCAATTGCATTAATTTTGCTTTCACTTAAAGAAATTGAAGACCCCTTCCAATAAAAAGGTAATAAAAACCTGTAAACCTGCGGCTACTCTATACAGGAGTCTAAAGATGTAGAAAAAAAAACAGCTCTTTCACATTACAAAAACTTCTCAAGATTTATTCGTCAGTCCAACTGCACCGTGGTTCACCACAGAAAAATTACATTTCTGTTTCACACGTGACACCATCCACCAGCTTTGGCCCATATCAACAACCACCCTCCCATCCACCCACCCACTCACCCACCCAACATTTCACTTCTGCCTCCTGCACCAAAGCAAGTGTACAACGCCTTCCTGACTGAAAGCTTGGCCTCATGTAATCTCATCTCCTCACACACACACACACACACTACTCACCGTTAGCCAATCTGCAACAACTTTTTTTCCTCTGTGCACCTCACTCCTCCTCCATCCACTCATCACCACTCTCCACAACCTACTATCCTTTTCCCAACAAAACCAACACTCAGTAAAACCACAACAACACGTGCAATTACCTCTCCTCTTCCTCCTCTCCATCGGCCTCCATTTCGTTTTGCGTGCTTTGTGACATTTGAAGACCACATTCCACACATCATCCCTCAACTGCGTTGCCACAATAAATCTTGCCTCCTATCCCTCAAGTGACTGACCAGTTGATCACCCTCTCCATCTGTCTGCCTCGCAATCACAAATGTATCGTGCACGTGTCTCACTACTGGAGGATACGAAACACCAATTCCCTCGCCAATTCTGGTCTCGCATTGGGAATGGAGGGAGAGGCGAAGGAGGTGAGAGAAACCTCTGAACAACTCCCCACTTCCCAGTCCATCACACACACACACACACACATGTATATTTGCACAGAGAGAATGATCGCCGGGGTGCAGCGTGATGCCGCAGAGGGGCACAAGTGATGGCGTGTCCTTGTCACACCTCCCATCTGTCAATCAATCAGTCAGCCTATCAGCCTGCCAGTCCACCCGTAAACAACTAACAACACACCACCTCATAGCCATGCAAATGCAGTGCAGAAGAGACCCTCTGCATAACTCACTGCACAACCTCTTTCAGTAAAGCAACACGGTAATGCAAATCGTCCTCCTCACCTGCCTCACATTTCATCTATCCTCCATGCAATCAGAGCCCTACGTACAAAGGACATTGTGGGAAAGCACAACAGACAACACTCAACTCATGCACCGACACATCACCTCCTCACCCTCCACATACTACCAGCAACACGCATCTGCGAAGGTGAACTGCAGACTGTACAATGGA